AAAAAATAAAATAAATATTTTAATGTATTTTAAAATAAAAATAATTTTAAAAAAATTACGTAGGGAAACACTGCAGTAATCTATAGTGTTTTGTGAGGAAATATATAACTATAATTTTCAACCAACTTAATAATAAAAAATTAAAACCAATAAAGATAATTTTGGAAAAAAATATTAAAAAATAAAAGGAAAAAAAACTATGCAGGAAAATACTGCAGCAATCTATAGTGTTTCACGAGGAAATTTACAGTTGTAATTTTCAATCAGCTTAATATTAAAAATAATAAAATTGATAAAGACAATTTTGAAAAAAATTATAATAAAAAAATTCATTTGGGGAAACACTTTAGCAATCAATAATGTTTTGAATAAAAAAACTACAAAACTAAATTTTCAACTAGCTCAGTATAAAAAAATAAATTCGATAAAAATAATTTTAGAAAAAAAATCGATAAAAAAATATGTGGGGAAACACTGTAGTAAGAAAAATTCATGTGGGGAAATACTGTATCAATCCACAATGTTTTGTTTTTAAAAAACTACAAAACTAAATTATTACCAGCTCAATATTGAAAAAAAACTAAAATTGATAAAGACAATTCTGGAAAAAAAACAAAGAAAACAAAAAAAACTATATGAGGAAACATTATAGCAATCAACAGTGTTTAAAAAAAAACTATGAAGCTAAATTCTCAATTAGCTCAATATTAAAAAAATAAAATTGATAAAAATAATTCTAAAAAAAACACAAAAAAAGAAGACAGTTTTGGAAAAAAAGCAAAAATAAAAATAAAAAAATAAAAAAACATATGGGGAAAGCTAAAGCTAAATTCTCTACCAAATCAATATTAAAAAAATAAATTCAACAAAGAGAATTTTAAAAAACAAATATGTGGAGAAATATTGTAGCAAAAGAAAAACCATGCGATGAAAATACCATAATAATTTACAATTGTTTTATAAAAAAATTACAAAATTAAATTGTCAACCACCTCAATATGAAAAAAAAACCTAAAAAGACTATTTTTGAAAAAAAATCATAAAAAGAAAGAAAAAAAATCATATAAGAAAACATTGTAGCAATTAATAATGTTTTTTTTTTAAATAATAGAGCTAAATTCTTAATCAGTTCAATATTAAAAAAAATCAATAAAAATAATTTTGAAAAAACATATAATATTTTTTTTAAAAAGTAAATCTTGAAAAAAAAAACATGTAAAAACAAGAAAAAAATAAAAAAACAAAATAAAAATATTAGTACAATAAAAATAAAAAATGTGGGAAAATTACAGTAATTTCCTCGTCTGTGCCTTTTAGAGTGTTGTTAATTATTTAATTAAATCTTATTGTTTATTGCTTTATATGGAACTATTAGTTATTATAAACACTTCAATTGTCGATGTACAAATTATTTCTTCGTGTTAGGAAGAAATGTTAGTCTATACTCATATGGACTTATCTTCAATGACAAGTAAAGGAAAGGAAAAGGAAGATATCTGACCAATGCTGTCCTCTTTTCCTTTCGGTTTTCTCGGGCCAGCCCTCTTGTCTTTTATCCTTTCCTTTTCTTCCTCAACGTCTCTTCCATGGCACATTAAGGAAACACGCAAAAGAAGGATGATGTATCCTCGTTGTGGCACACAGAGGGTTAAAGATCAACAAGCTGCCCTTGATTAATAACTTGTAAAACTTTCTTCCTATTCGTCCATTAATTTCTCTCTGTTTTGGGTTAGATTCTACTTGTTTGGCCATTGCTGTAGCATCATTCATGTTGTTTATGTTAGTGAGTTTTCTCTTTTAGCTCAAAATGACTGTGTAATTAAGATCTCAGCTAATTTCCCACTAGCATTGTGGCACATAGAGGGTTAAAGATCAACAAGCTGCCCATGAATAACTGGTATGACTTCCTTCCTGTATGTTCATTAATTTCTCTATAGCTATTCCAGTAACGAATGTCAATGAAATCTCTCTGTTTTGGGTTCTAGTGAGAGTTGTTTTCTTTGCTACAGTATTCTTATATTACTGATCATCATAATCGTTTGTTTTCTTTTTGCTTGTTACAGGGAATAATTATCACAAGTAGAAAGCTTACGTCTACATATATCAAGCATATAAAAATATGGCTTCCACTTCTCCCACTACTCCATATTTGAAGCACGATGTATTCCTCAGTTTTAGAGGCACAGACACCCGCAATAGTTTTACCAGTCATCTTTATCATGCTTTGCAGCGAAACCAGATTGATGCTTACATCGATGATAAACTTGATGGAGGAGAAAAGATCGAGCCTGCCATCTTGGAAAGGATTGAAGAGTCGTATATTTCGGTAGTCATTTTCTCTGAAAATTATGCATATTCTACTTTCTGTTTAAGAGAACTCTCCAAGATTCTTGAGTGCATGGAGACCAAACAACAGATGGTTTTACCAGTTTTTCACCAACTTGATCCATGCCAAGTTCAAAACCTGTCTGGGAGTTATGGAGATGCACTTTGCAAGCATGAAAAAGATTGTGGTTCTAAAGAAGTAGAGAGTTGGAGAAATGCCTTGAAAGAAATAGCTAATCTCAAGGGCTGGAATTCAAACGTCATTAAGTAAGTTATTAATCAGTACAGTGTATTAAACCCCAACATATATAAACCATTTTTGTTCGAGAATTAATATTATGTTTGATGTTATGATAAAATTTCTTAGGTTATAGTTGCTTGTTTAATTTACTAGTCTGTCTTTGTTCTTAATTTATTATGCATTGTGCAGGGATGAGGCCAAGCTAATTGAGGAAATTGTTTCTGACATTCAAAATAAATTACTCCATGCGCCCTCACCCCCAATTAATTCAGAAAGCCCAGTTGGAATGAAATCACGCCTTAAGGACATCGATTCATTACTATCCCTTGGATCAACCGGTGTGCTCATTGTGGGAATCTGGGGGATGGGTGGTATAGGTAAGTCAACAACGGCTGAAGCTGTGTATCATCGAAACTGTAGTAAATTTGAAGGCCATTGCTTTTTCCAAAATGTTAGGGAAGAATCACAGAAGCATGGAATAGATCATGTACGACAGGAAATTCTTGGTGAAGTATTAGAGAAGAAAGATATGACTATACGCACAAAAGTGTTGCCACTGGCCATTAAGCGAATGCTTCAAAGAAAAAAAGTTCTCATAGTTCTTGATGATGTCAACGATCCACAAGTTTTAAAATATTTACTAGGAGAGGATGGTTTGTTTGGCCAAGGAAGTAGAATCATTGTGACAAGTAGGGATAGGCAAGTGCTTATAAATGCATGTGATGAAGACAAAATTTATGAGGTCAAAATTTTAGATAAAGACGATGCTCTTCGACTCTTCAGCTTACATGCTTTTAAGCAAAATAATCCCATAGAAGGATCTATTGGGCTATCAAAAACCGTGGTAAGCTGTGTTAAGGGCATTCCATTAGTTCTCGAGGTTTTAGGTGCCAGTCTATACAGAAAGACTAGTGTAGAATACTGGGAAAGCAAGGTGGCACAGCTAAGAAAAAATGGTGGCGAGGACATTAAGAAATGTTTGGAAATGTGCTATCATGAACTAGATCAGACAGAAAAGAAAATATTTCTTGATATAGCATGTTTCTTTGGACGGTGCAAAAGGGATCTCCTCCAACAAACACTAGATCTGGAAGAAAGAAGTGGGATAGATCGTCTAATTGATATGTGTCTCATAAAAATTGTTCAAAACAAGATCTCGATGCATGATGTGCTAGTAAAACTAGGGAAAAAAATTGTCCACCAAGAAAACGTTGACCCTAGAGAACGTAGCAGGTTGTGGGAGGCTGATGATATCTATCGTGTATTAACAACTCAGGTAACATTTCCAAGTTATTTAATTGACTGTTGCTTGACTTTCTTGTTGTTTATAGCTAAGAGATGTAGTCTTGGACAAGAATAAATATCAAGGCCAGCTTCTTCTTCTTCTTCATCTTCTTCTTCTTCTTTATTTGTTATATATATACTGATTTACAATTTGCTTGTGTTAAATAGGGGACTGGATCAAAAGTGGAAAGCATATCCCTCATCTTGGATACAACTAAAGACTTAAGTCCTACAGCATTTGAAGGGATGTATAATTTAAGATTGCTCAAAATCTACTACCCACCGGATCCCTCAAAGGAGCAAATTATGAACGGAAAGAGGGTCGGAATCCACCTTCCAGGAGGGCTTCACTGTCTTTCAAGTGAGCTAAGGTTTCTCTACTGGTATAATTACCCTTTGAAATCCATGCCATCAAATTTTTCCCCTAAGAAAGCTTTTCAACTTGAAATGCCTTGTAGCCAGCTTGAACAACTTTGGAATGAATACCAGGTATATATGCTTTATCATCCTTCTTTTTCAACTAGAGTTTGAAATTATTCATAACATTTATCTCTTCTTCCATTACTTTTTTTTTATTTTTATTTACAGCCACTTGAGAATTTAAAATTAATGAAACCCCCTTCCTCAAAGCTGAGCTTAATTGATTCAGACCTGTCTAAAGTCCCACACCTTGAGGCTCTACATCCAGGTATACCTTCCTCGATTAAATACAGCACCAGATTTACCACATTAGAGCTTCCCAGACTTGAGAGTTTCTGTACTTTGCCATCATCAATTGGGTGCCTCTCTCAACTTGTTAGATTAAACTTACCTTTATGTGAAAGTCTTGCTAGTCTACCAGACAACATTGATGAGTTAAAATCTCTTGTAGAGCTTGATCTTTATTCTTGCTCAAAACTAGAAAGTCTTCCAAATAGCATTTGCAAGTTGAAATGTCTTACTAAGCTTAATCTTGGTTGTCAGCCAAAACTAGCAAGTCTACCTGACAACATTGGGGAGCTGAGATCTCTTGTAAAGCTTAGTCTTTCTTCTTGTTCAAAACTAGCTAGTCTACCCGACAGCATTGGCGAGTTGAGATCTCTTGTAGAGCTTCATCTTTCTTCTTGCTCAGGACTAGCAAGTCTACCAGACAGCATTGGTGGATTGAAATCTCTTGAATGGTTTGATCTTAATGGTTGCTTTGGACTAGCAAGTCTACCAGACAGCATTGGTGGATTGAAATCTCTTCAATGGTTTGATCTTAATGGTTGCTTTGGACTAGCAAGTCTACCGGACACCATTGGCGCGTTGAAATCTCTTCAATCACTTAGTCTTCGTGGTTGCTCAGGCCTAGCAAGCCTACCGGACATAATTAGCGGGTTGAAATCTCTTATGTGGCTTAATCTTTCTGGTTGCTCAGGACTAAAAAGTCTACCGGATAGCATTGGCGAGTTGAAACATCTTACTACGCTCCTTCTCAGTGGTTGCTTAAAACTAGCAAGTCTTCCAGACAACTTCATTGATCTTGAATTTAGAGGACTTGACAAACAGCGTTGTTATATGCTGAGAGGATTCCAGAAAGTAGAAGAAATTGCATCATCCACCTATAAATTGGGCTGCCATGAATTTTTAAATTTGGGAAATTCTCGTGTGTTAAAAACTCCAGAGAGCTTAGGCTCTTTGGTGTCGCTAACAAATTTGAGATTATCTCAGATTGATTTTGAGAGGATACCTGCAAGCATCAAGCACCTTACTAAGCTACGTGAACTCTTTTTAGATGAGTGCAAGCGGCTTCAATGTTTACCAGAGCTTCCATCAACTCTACAAGTTTTAATAGCATCAGGCTGCATCTCTCTAAAATCTGTAGCAGGTATATTTATGCAAGGTGATAGAGAATATGAAGCTGCTTCTCAGGAATTCAATTTCTCTGAATGCCTCCAACTGGATCAGAATTCACGCACTAGAATTATGGGTGATGCCCGTTTACAAATTCAACGCACGGCAACATCATTGTTTGATCAGGTGAATTCTTGCTCCCTCGATCTTGATTTATTTAAAGGAAAAAATCATGATAATTTTTTATATGTATCTCACATTCTCACTCCCTTCGGTGTAGCAATATCATTGCAAGCCCATTAGAGTTCGGTTGTGTATTCCTGGGTCGGAAGAGCTTGTGTTGAAGAAGAATGAGGACAGTTGCCCCACATGAATGGCAAAGGGGGTGATTGTTAGGTTGGTTTCCATTAATGTGCAACAACCATTTGCTATTGCACCAACCATGTGCACTCATCCAAGATGTCAAAGGTTGGCAGCCACCATTGTTGATGAAGAGTTGGAGTTGGCAGCCACCTTTGTTGAAGAAAAGCCTCCATGAATGCCTATAAATAGAGGCATATGCAAGAGAGCAAAATGAGTGAAGAGAATTATGAAAATGTGAAGAGAGTAGAGAGGAAAGCAGCCTTGCTGCCATTGCAGCAGCTGCAAGTGCAGCAAAGAGAGTTGAGAGTTGAGTATGAGAGGGTGTAATCCTCCTCCTCCATGTATTTGTTTTGTATTCTTTCTTTATCTCTAAATATATTGACTTCTCCCGTGGATGTAGGCGGTTTTGCCGAACCACGTTAAATATTGTGTCAGTGTGCTTGACTCTCCTATGAGCAAGTATCAGAACATCACCGATCGGAATTCCCAACAGGAAGTTCCGGAGTGTTTTAGTTATAAAAATAGAGAAGGATCTTCAGTAAAAATCGGGCAACCAGCTCATTGCTATCGTGGTTTCACTTTCTGCGCTGTTGTTTCATTTGGCCAAAGCGGGGAAAGGCGTCCGGTTAATATTGAATGTGAATGCCATTTGATAATCAAAGATGGAACCCAGATTGATCTCAGTTCCTACTACTACGGAAAATATGAAGGAATGGCGAGCAGTACTGTATGGAAAAGGGAGCATGTGTTCATTTGGAGTGTCCACTCTAAGTGCTTTTTCAAGGAGGCCTCGTTCCATTTCAAACCACTGTGCGGAGCCACTGATGTGGTGGTTCAGTGTGGAGTTCATCCATTGTTAAAGTAGGAGCAACCATGCGCTAAAATGGACAAACTTGTGACATTGGTAACTCGTCTTCTCCTCTTCTTTTTCTATACAAATACTTATGAAACAACTCAATTAAAATGAAACCAGATAGTCTTATGTAATAGAGATGAAAATGATATATTTATCCTCCTACTTCAACATGATTCTTAACTAGGTCCCGAACAAAACAAAATAATAATTATCAATTGGATCCCATCTATTACATATTACCAATTAACCCCACCATTAAAATTTATGATATAAATGACATCATTTTAAGGGGTGGTTCTAAGTTCGTGATAAAAATAAATGTGATAAAAATAAATAAAAAAATTTAGGTTTAGTAAGTTAATGTGAGTTAATTTTTATTATTTTTAATAGATTTGTTTTTTTAATTTTATTCTTCAACACTAGGTTGATTCGGAATTTGGCTTCATATTTGTTTATTTATTTATTATGGGGTTATTGAGATCTCAAGATCCAGATCACAAGTTTTGCGGGTTACCAAGGATGGCTCAAGTTTTTTGGGTTATTTTTTAATTGATTTTTTTTATTTTCATCATTTAACATTGGGTTGATTGAGAATTTGACTTCATATTTTTATTTTATTTATTTCTATAGATTCCCGATCTCATAATCAAAGTTTAACAGGTTAACATGGGTTGACTTTGAATATTTTTTTAATTGATTTTTTTCAATTGAATCTTTTAATATTAGGTTGATTGAGAATTGTGCTTTGTAATTTGTTTTCTATATAACTACCAAGATCTCATGACCCGGGTCGATGGTTAGCTCGATGGCCTCAAGGCTTTTTTGTATTCTTTTTAAATGTATTTTTTTTTCAATTTCATCCATTAATATTAGGTTAATTGAGAATTAGGTTTTATAATTCATTTCAATTTGCTTTCTATGAAGATATTCTGACCTCATGACTCGAATCATGAGTTTAGTTGGTTAATTCGAGTTATTTTTTTATGTTTCTTGTTAATTGTTTTTTTTACAATTTTCTTTTTCAATATTAGATTGATGAGGAATTCAGTTTTCTAACTTTGATCTAACCAGAGCATAGCGTCAGCAATTATATAGTATTAATTATAAACTAAAATAGGAGAGGTTTTTACCATTCCTCTCCTCACAAAGCACTATTAATTGGAATAATGGCTTGTTTCTTTATTTCTCTTTGCTTCTTTTTTTTCAATCATTTTTTTAATTTCATCCTGTAATATTAATTTTTTTTTATTGAGTTATCTCATTCTCATGACAGAGATCACTAGTTTGATGCGTTAATTAACCTTGTTAACTTAGGTTTTTTTTTTTTTTAATTTTATCCATTAATACCAGGTTGATTGAAAATTAGACTTCATGATTATTTTATCACTTAATACTAGGTTGATTGGAAATTAAACTTCATAATTTGCTTTGTTTACTTTCTATTGTGTTATTCCGGCATCATGATCGGAGTACTTAACGAGTTAATCCGAGTTGACTTATATAATTTTATTGTGTCTTGTTTCAATTATTTTTTTATGTTATCATTCATCATTGAGTTGGTTAGAAATTGAACTTTATAATTTATTTTGATTTGCTTTCTATGAGTATATCTTGGTTTTATGATTAAGGTTGCGAGTTTTGGTATTTTAACACTAGCTAAATTTAGTTCTTTTTTTTTTTATAAGAGGTTATCTCAATTTCATGATTTAAGTCACAATTTTTTCAACAGTGAATTTGCTTTTTATTAGATTGTCCACGTCTCATAACCTAAATTGTTGGTTTGACAGGTTAACCTAATTGACTCAATTTTTTATTTTTTATTTGAATTTTTTATTTGTAATTTATTAGTTTATATTGTGTTTGATTGGAAATTAAGCTTCATGATTTATTTTGGTTTGCTTTTTATTAGGTTATCCAAACCTTATGACCCAAAAATAGTGTTTAATTAACGCGTTGACCCAGGTTGACTTGGCTTAATTTTATGTCATTTTTTTATATTAAAATTCGTATAAACTTCATTGTTTATTTTTTTAAATTTATATAAACTTGATCTGTTTTCTATAGGTTTTTTGAGTCCTTTTTTATTTTCATCCTTCAATATTGGATTGATTGAGAATTTATCTTTATATTTTTATCTTATTTTTTTCTATAGATTTCTCTAGGTTTTATGATCCGAGTTTTGACAAGTTAATCCCGGTTGACTCAAGATATGTTTTTTATTTTTTTTTTCAATTGAATCCTTCAACATTGGGTTAATTGATCTCATAACATGGGTTAATGGTTAGCTCAATTGTCTCGAGTTTTTTTATGTTCTTTTTAAATGCATTTGTTTTTGAATTTCTTCCATTAATATTGGGTTAATTGGAAATTAGACTTCATAATTTATTTTGGTTTACTTTCCATGAAGATATTCCAATCTCATGACTCGAGTCACGAGTTGGTTTGTTAACCTAGGTTGACTCGAGTGGTTTTTTCATTTTTTTTTTGTTATTTTGTTATTTAATTTTATAATATTGAATTGATTAAGAATTGAGTTTTTTAATTTTCATCTGACCAGCACTGTAGCGCAGATAATTATCTAGTATTAACTATAAACTAAAAGAGAAGAGGTTCGAGAACAATCGATTCCAGAAGCCAAGGAAGCAACCAGTGACTTCAAGCATACATGTTGATTGGTTTTGATATTGAAACACACAGTACATTCGTATTGACATTTTCACTTTCAGATTTTGTGTTCTGCTCAGGACTCAAAACTCAACACTCAATATGTGAGATTTTCTGATATCATTCAATTGTACATCTCAAGTCCTTGAATTATGTATCCTTTGAGTTCTCTGAATGATGTGTCCCCTGCTTCCTTGAGTGACATGAAGGATTTGTATGGTATATTTGCAGTTCAGGCATGTCAAAGTTTCATGTTTTTGTTCTTTCGGGGATGCATGGTTTGTACTCCTCTTATTAACTTTATGTTCATTGTGAATGAAACCTAAGTACAGTATAAAGACTCTGTTGTCATGAATATGGTAAGAATCTTCTGTCCAAAGAAAGGTGTCATGTCATGTATATTTCAAATTACCTGTCAAGGTTCAGACAGTTAAAATCTTATGCATCTGCATTTCTACACTGGAAATTATCACCTAAAGTCTAATATCTACTGATAAAGACCTATATTAGAGGATTGAGTGGTGGTGTATCAGACTTTATTATTATTATTGCTTGACGACTCATATTCAGATCATTAATTACTCACTGTGGTCCTCGGCTCAGGTTTCTGACATATATATTTCATAGAGTGAAGACCATAGAATACTTATCTAGATCACTGTGCAAGAAAAATGATGTGGTTATCAATGACAATGGACAAAGTATGATAACTTCACCTAATTATCATCGCCAAGAAGGTAGGAAAAAAGCATCCATTTGCAGGAATTTAATGCGCTCTGCTAGAGTACGTGGTTTGAATAATTCATCATGCCATCCTTTACATATTAAGTTAAGATTACCTTACAAGTCCTGGTAAAAATGCACCAAAAGTGCAAACAGAATCACTTTTTTGTCTTCACATCAAGAAACGTTTTGTTCCACAATCTCTGCTAAGAAAGAGCAATAGAGAGGATGACACACAATCAAAACTGCAACATGGCTGTGCCAGTGTTCTGTCTATCTTTTCCCTCATGCCAGGAGCTTCAGCATTTGTTTGCAGTTTTACTGATCGTGAAGCTCTTCTGAAATTCAAGGCAGGCATAACAAGTGATCCGAAAGGATACGTCCAGGATTGGAATGAAGCCAGTACTTTCTGTAACTGGCCCGGAATTACATGCCACCAATCTCTCCAAAATCGGGTTATAGATCTTGAGATCATAGACATGCGCTTAGAAGGAAGTATATCGCCATTTCTATCCAATAGTTCTCTTCTCACCAGGCTTTCCTTGCAGGGTAACAATTTCCCTGGAGAAATCCCAACTACCTTGGGAGCACTCTTACAGTTAGAATATCTGAATATGAATGAAAATAAGCTCTCTGTTGCCTCTCCAGCTTCACTACATGGCTGTCAAAGCTTGAAATTTCTTGACTTGTCTGCTAACAACTATCAGGGGTCATTCCTGAAGAACTAGGATGGATGAAGAAGGTGAGTTTTTTAGCTCTCTCTGTAAACAACCTCACTGGGGTCATTCCGACCTTTTTGTCAAACCTGACAGAATTGACACTCCTAGAACTGGCTGTGAACTACTATACTGGGCAAATCCCTCTGGAGCTTGGAGCTTTGAGCAGGCTTGAGATTTTGTTTTTGCACCTGAACTTTCTTGAGGGAACAATACCTGCATCACTAAGTAATTGCACTGCATTGCGAGCAATTTAATTGATTGAGAATTGATTATCAGGGGAAATCCCTTCAGAAATAGGGAACAAGCTCCAAAACTTGCAGAAGTTGTATTTTATAAACAACAATATTTCTGGTAGGATTCCAGTGACATTCTCAAATCTTTCTCAAATAACTCTGCTTGATTTGAGTTTCAATTACTTGGAGGGTAAAGTTCCTGAGGAACTGGGGAAGTTGAACCTTGAGATCCTTTACCTCCATAGCAACAACCTGGTTAGCAATTCTTCTCTTAGTTTTCTTACTGCTCTCACAAACTATTCATTTCTGAAGAAACTGCACTTGGGCTCATGTTTATTTTCTAGGAGTTTACCTGCTTCCATTGGAAATCTTTCAAAAGTCCTCTACTATTTCAATCTTTTGAATAACCGTATAAGAGGAGAGATTCCAGATAGTACTGGAAACTTGAGTGGCCTCGTGACCTACAACTGTGGTACAATCACTTGGACGGGACAACTCCAGCGACTTTTGGAAAGCTGAAGCTGTTGCAAAGACTATGTTTGGGGAGAAACAAGCTAAAAGGTTCCATTCCAGATGAAATGGGGCAGATGGAAAACCTAGGCTTACTTGATCTTGCCAATAATTCCATAACCGGGTCAATCCCTTGTTCACTTGGTAACCTCTCACAGTTGAGATACCTTTACCCATCTCAGAACAGCTTATCAGGAAATATTCCCATCAAACTCAGCCAGTGCTCTCTCATGATGCAGCTGGATTTATCTTTTAACAGCTTGCAGGGGCCTCTTCCACCAGAAATTGGAGTTTTTGCTAACTTGGGGCTCTCCCTCAACCTTTCAAATAACAATCTAGACGGGGAAATACCTGCAACTATTGGAAATCTGGTATCTGTACAAGCTATTGACTTATCGGTGAACAGATTTTCTGGCATTATACCAATTTCAGTTGGAAGTTGTACGGATTTGGAGTACTTGAAACTATCCAAGAACATGTTCAAGGTACAATTCCAGAGTCATTGAAACAAATTGCATATTTAAAAGCGCTGGATCTCGCTTTTAATCAATTAACAGGCAGCGTTCCAATCTGGCTTGCCAATGACTCAGTGATGAAGAATTTCAACCTGTCGTATAATAGATTAACTGGAGAAGTTTCAAGTATGGGAAGGTTTAAAAATCTTAGTGGAAGCGCATTGATAGGAAATGCAGGCCTGTGTGGTGGTTCTGCCTTAATGAGACTCCAGCGATGTGCAGTTCAAAAGAAAAGGAGGAAGTTATGGAAATGGACCTATTACTGTTGGGTATCCAAAAATGCTGGAAACGATACTGAGATCACCCAAATCGGATTTCGGATGGTTCCGATTTAAACAATCAAAAAATTGGGATAACTGGACGCTGTAGATGAAGCCACGTGGCAGGAGGAATAGTCGCTGCGCCACACCGGATCAAAACCCAGTTATGCTGACGTGGCAAGATGACGTGCCAGACACGTAGGCAATGTGGGGTCCACCCAAGCTTACGTGGCAGATCCACGGAGATTTTGCGGCTGACGTGGCAAGGATGACGTGGCAGGGATGACGTGGCTGGTTGACCGGTCAGACTGCTGATGTGGCAGTTTACTTGGCTGGCTGACTGTGTCGAACCGCTGACGTGGCTGCTGCCGTGGCAGAGTCGAGTTGCAGGAAACAACGAGGAAGACGCGTGACGCGCGTACGGCGCGTCTGTGCGCGTGGACAGTACTGGTGGTGGCGCGTGCAGGCGCGTGCGGGCATGCAGGACATCGGATTTTCACCGGGTTTTCACCAGTGGATTCCTCTTATCGTCCTCTTCACGGTGGTATGTTCAAAAACATGTTTTGAGAACTTTGATTTTTGAGTTTGGATCAAACACCCCCTTTTTCAAGAACTTTCAAGAACAAGCTCAGTTTCTTAAAGGTTGGCAAGACCTTAAGACCAAGAAAGCTAGAACTGGTGCACACAGATTTATGGGGACCAACTCCAGTAGCATCTCTTGGAGGTTCTCGGTACTATGTGACTTTTATTGATGACTTGTAGCATCTCTTGGCTGTTCTCGGTACTATGTCACTTTTATTGATGACTTTAGCAGAAAGGTATGGGTCTACTTTCTGAAAAATAAATCTGATGTGTTTGACACATTCAAGAAATGAAAGGCTATGGTTGAGACTGAATCAGGTTTGAAGTTGAAATGCTTACGATATGATAATGGAGGAGAATACATTGATGGAGGTTTCAAGGAGTATTGCGCTGTCAACGGTATCAGAATGGAAAAGACAGTTCCAGGCACACCACAACAGAATGGCATTGCTGAACGAATGAACAGGACCATCAATGAACGAGCTAGAAGTATGAGGTTACATTCTGGGTTACCTCAAACATTCTGGGCTGATGCAGTTCATACTGCAGTTTACTTGATCAACCGTGGACCATCAGTACCTTTGGAGTTTAGACTGCCCGAGGAAGTCTGGAGAGGAAAAGAAGTACAGCTTTCTCACCTAAAAGTCTTTGGGTGTGTTTCCTATGTGCATGTAGACTCTGATGCTCGCAACAAGCTGGATGCCAAATCAAAGAAATGTTTCTTTATTGGCTATGGAGATGAAGAATTTGGATTTTGTTTTTGGGATGATCAGAACAGGAAGATTATCAGAAGCAGGAACGTGATCTTCAATGAGAAAGTTTTGTACAAAGACAAATCAAGTACAGAACTAGAGATAACTGATTCAGATACGAGTCCACAGAAATCTGAATTCATACAATTAGAAGGGCTTCCTGATGTTACCACTCAAGAGTTCATACAAGACAGTTCAAGCACTTCAGTACCCACCACTTCTACACAAGATAGTGCAGAGACAAGTGAACCAGCTGTTCGCAGGTCTTCAAGGACTATAAAGCCTCCACAACGGTTCACACTTCTATTGAATTATATCTTGCTGACAGATGGTGGTGAACCATTAACTTATGAAGAATCCTTACAAGATGGAAACTCGAGCAAGTGGGAGTTAGCCATGAAGGACGAGATGGAGTCATTGCTGAAGAACAAGACTTGGGAGTTAACCAAACTGCCTGAAGGAAAGAAGGCCTTGCAAAACAAGTGGGTTTACAGAGTAAAGACCGAGCATGACGGAAGCAAACGGTTCAAAGCAAGACTTGTTGTAAAAGGGTTTCAACAAAAGAAAGGGATCGACTATTCTGAGATATTTTCTCCAGTTGTGAAGCTTACAACAATTAGAGTTGTTCTGGGGATAGTAGCTGCAGAAAATTTACATCTTGAACAATTAGATGTAAAAACAACATTTCTTCATGGAGAATTGGAGGAAGATATTTACATGCAACAACCAGAGGGGTTCGTAATACCAGGAAAGGAGAGTCAAGTTTGCAAACTAAAGAAGAGCCTATATGGTTTGAAGCAAGCTCCAAGACAGTGGTACAGGAAGTTTGATAACTTCATGTGTAGTACAGGATACACAAAATGTCAGGCTGATCATTGTTGCTATGTCAAACATTTTGACAACTCCTATATCATTCTACTGCTATATGTGGATGGTATGTTAATTGCAGGTTCCAGCATGGAAGAGATTGACAAGCTAAAGCAACAGTTGTCAAAACAGTTTGAAATGAAGGATCTAGGAGCTGCTAAACAAATACTTGGCATGAGAATCATCAGAGACAAAGACAAAGGCATATTAAAGCTTTCACAGGCATAGTATGTCAAGAAGGTTCTCAGCAGGTTTAGTATGGATAATGCTAAGCCAGTATGTACACCTTTAGGGAATCATTTCAAGCTCAGTAGAGACCAGTCACCAAAAACTGAGCTAGAACGTGGATACATGGACCAGATCCCATACGCCTCAGCTATCGGCTCCTTGATGTATGCCATGGTCTGTACTAGACCAGATATTGCCCATGCAGTGGGAGTTGTAAGCCGATATATGAGCAATCCTGGAAAGCAGCATTGGGAGGCAGTGAAATGGATCATGAGGTACTTAAAAGGCTCATCGGAGACATGTCTTATTTTCACAGCTGGCGGTTTGAAACTTGAAGGCTTTGTAGATGCTGATCTAGCAGGAGATGTTGATAGCAGAAAGAGTACTACAGGTTATATATACACTCTAGGAGGCACTGCTGTCTCTTGGAGTTCTACCTTGCAAAATATAATTGCTCTTTCAACGACAGAAGCTGAATATGTTGCAGTTTCAAAATCTGCAAAAGAGATAGTATGGCTACAGAGTTTCCTGCATTTCTGAATGGCTTCCTAGAAGAAGAGATCTATGTTGTGCTGCTAGTGAGATCATCAATCTGATTGTCTCTAGCCGGGCTACTGGAGCAAACACTTCTCCATAGTCAATGCCTTCTCTCTGTTTGTAGCCTTTCGCCACTAATCTTGCTTTGTATCTTTGCACTTCTCCTTTTGCATTCTTCTTTGTCTTATAGACCCATTTAACACCTATTGCTTTCTTGTTTTCTGGTAGATAAGTCAGCTTCCAGGTATCATTCTTCTCAATGGCATGTATTTCTTCATCCATTGCTTTTATCCACTTCTCTTCTGTGATAGCTTCATTGAAGCTAAGTGGGTCACTATCTGCAAAGAAACAAAATAGAGTTGTATCTTCCATTACTTGAGTGGCGTCATACAGCTCTTCTAGATTTCTCATCCTTCTTGGTCCTTCTGATGAGGATGCTGATGCTGATGGTATTGATGATGATTCTGGCGTGTTTCTCCTGTTGAATACAGGAAATCTATGTACCGGACTTTGTGGCTCATCTTCTGGTACTATTGGACCTTCTGCAAGTACTGTTGGTACTTCTTCATCTTCAAGGATCAAATCAGTGCTGATCCATTTAACTGCTTCTTGGTCATCATTCCATTGCCAAGTTTTATCTTCTTCAAAGATAACATCTCTGCTCATAATTACCTTCTTGGTGATGGGATTATACAGCTTGTATCCCATTCTTCTCTCACCATATCCGACAAAGATGCATTTCTCACTTTTATCATCGAGTTTGGTCCTTCTTGCATCTGGGATCTTTGCATATGCCACACAACCAAAGACTCGAAGATGAGTAACACTTGGTTTGTGACCACTCCATGCTTCTTGTGGAGTGATAGCTTGCAAACTTCTGGTTGGGCAGCGGGTCAGCAAATATACTGCACATGATACAGCTTCAGCCCAGTATTGCTTGGGCAGCTTTTTTGCTTTGAGTAGACTTCTTGTCATATCAAGAATTGTTCGATTCTTCCTCTCAGCTACACCATTCAGCTGTGGTGTATAAGCTGGTGTTGTTTGATGTCTGATGCCTTGTTGTGTACAAAACGCTTCAAAGTCATTTGCTGTATATTCTCCACCTTGATCAGATCTCACGGTTTTGATCTTATAGCCACTTTGCTTCTCAACAATAATGTGTTCTTCTCTCTCGCTCTCTCTCTCCCTCCCTCTCTTTAAACAGTTAGGTGGCAGCATTAACTAGGAATTGGTCTCTTTCTTGCTGCTTAGGAAAAACGGAAAAGGTGAAAAAAATGAAAAAAAAAATCTGATTTGAATGATCAAGTTCTCAATGGGATCACTTTTCCACAACAACAATGCTCTCTCTGCCACCTGCAAAGCATCAGTTCCATAAACTGATTTTAACAAAGTAAAGAGCAAATAATAGAAGCTATCATCTCAACAAGTTTTTCAGTGAAAAACTAAACCCTGGTGACACACAGGCCTTGCTCCAGATCGAACACCGAGTCTGGATTAAAAACCCTGAATCATATGTGAAGAGAAAAGTAGTGAATTCTTCGGTCGAAACTTCATTCATGGTCTAAAAAGGGTTGTTTGGAAAAAGATTCCGGAAGACGACCAGGAAATTACTGCTTGGTTGTGTTCAAAAATCAAAAGGGCAGACAGCAAGTCAAGCGTCCTGTAATGCTTTAACTCATTTTAGCCAGTGGGATATGCTACTTTTTAACTAATTTATACATCCAACGTAAAAATGATTGCTACTTAGCGGTGAAGAAAAGTTGCTATTATACTATCAACTTTTGCTCACCGCTAAGTAAAGAAAAAGGAAAAGAAGATAGATGACTAATCTTTTGGAATTGAGTTTGAAGTTGTTTTTTCTGCTAATGTTTGTTAAATTTTGGATTTGTTTAGTGTTTTTGAATTCTGTCTAAATAATTTTAAAAAAATAAAAAACTATTCTTTTAATATATTTTTAAATAAACACTTCAAAAATCGAAATTTAAATGATTCTGCAATTTCCGTGGCTTACTTAATGGGTTGTTACAGGGAATAATTATCACAAGTATAAAGCTTACTTCTACATATATCAAGCAAATAAAAATATGGCTTCCTCTTCTTCTCCTACTACTCCATATTTGAAGTTCGATGTTTTCCTCAGTTTTAGAGGCACAGACACCCGCAATAGTTTCACCAGTCATCTTTATGATGCTTTGCAGCGAAACCAAATTGATGCTTACATCGATAATAAACTTGGTGGAGGAGAAAAGATCGAGCCTGCCCTCTTGGAAAGGATTGAAGAGTCATGTATTTCGCTAGTCATTTTCTCTGAAAATTATGCAGATTCTACTTTCTGTTTGAGGGAACTCTCCAAGATTCTTGAGTGCATGGAGACCAGACAACAGATGGTTTTACCAGTTTTTTACCGACTTGATCCAAGCCATGTTCAAAATCTGACTGGGAGCTATGGAGATGCACTTTGCAAGCATGAAAGAGATTGTGGTTCTCAAGAAGTAGAGCGTTGGAGACGTGCTTCGAAAGAAATAGCTAATCTCAAGGGCTGGGATTCAAACGTCATTAAGTAAGTTATTAATTTAGCTACAGCATATTAAACCCCAACTTATTTAAACAATTTTGTTCCAGAATCAATGTTGTGTTTGATGTTATGATAAAATTTCTTAGGTTCTAGCCTGTCTTTGTTCTTTATTTATTATGCACTGTAGGGATGAGACCAAGCTAATTCAGGAAATCGTTACTGACATTCAAAAGAAATTGAACCATGAGCTGTCACCCTCATTTGATTCAAAACGCCTTGTTGGAATGAAATCACGCGTTGAAGACATCGAATCATTACTATCTTTTGGATCAACCGGTGTGCTCATTGTGGGAATCTGGGGGATGGGTGGTATAGGTAAGTCCACAACGGCTGAAACTGTGTATCGTCGAAACTGTAGTAAATTTGAAGGCCATTGCTGTTTCCAAGATGTTAGGGAAGAATCACGGAAGCATGGAGTAGATCATGTGCGACAGGAAATTCTTGGCATGGTATTAGAGAAGAATGATCTCAAAATACACGGAAAAGTGCTACCCTCGGCCATTAAGCGAATGCTTCAAAGAAAAAAAGTCCTCATAGTTCTTGATGATGTCAATGATCCACAAGATCTAAAATATTTACTAGGAGAGGATGGTTTGTTTGGCCAAGGAAGTAGAATCATTGTGACAAGTAGAGATAGGCGAGTTCTTGAAAATGCATGTGAAGAAGATAAAATTTACGAGGTTAAAATTTTAGATGAAGACGATGCACTTCAACTCTTCAGCTTACATGCCTTTAAACAAGATCGTCCCATAGAAGGATATACCGGGCTATCAAAAACTGTGGTAAGCTGTGTTAAGGGCATTCCATTAGTTCTCGAGGTTTTAGGTGGCAATCTATACAATAAAAGGAGTGTTGAATACTGGGAAAGTAAGGTGGCACAGCTAAGAACAAATGGTGGCGAGGACATTAAGAAACATTTGGAAATGTGTTATCATGAATTAGATCAGACAGAAAAGAAAATATTTCTTGATATAGCATGTTTCTTTGGACGGTGCAAGAAGGATTTTCTCCAACAAACACTAGATCTTGAAGAAAGAAGTGGGATAGATCGTCTCGCTGATATGTGTCTCATAAAAATTGTTCAAGACAAGATCAAGATGCATGATGTGCTCCTAAAACTAGGGAAAAAAATTGTCCTCCAAGAAAACGTTGACCCTAGAGAACGTAGCAGGTTGTGGGAGGCTGATGATATCTATCGTGTATTAACAACTCAGGTAACGTTTCCAAGTGATTTAATTGACTGTTTCTTGACTTTCTTGTTTATAGCTAAGAGATGTGGCCTTCGACAAAGATAAATATCAAGGCCAGCTTCTTCTTCTTCTTCTTTATTTGTTATATATTTACGGATTACACTTTGCTTTAATTTGGTAAATAGGGGACTGGATCAAAAGTGGAAAGCATATCCCTCATCTTGGATGCAACTAAAGATCAATTGACGTTAAGTCCTACAGCATTTCAAGGGATGTATAATTTAAGATTGCTCAAAATCTACTACCCACCTTTCTTAAAGGATCCCTCAAAGGAGCAAATTATGAATGGAAAGAGGGTCGGAATCCACCTTCCACGAGGGCTTCACTTTCTTTCAAGTGAGCTAAGGTTTCTCTACTGGTATAATTACCCTTTGAAATCCTTTCCATCAATTTTTTTCCCTGAGAAACTTGTTCAACTTGAAATGCCTTGTAGCCAGCTTGAAGGCCAGGTATGCTTTATCACCCTTCTTTTTCAAATATAGGGCATTTTTGAAATTATTCATAACATTTATCTTTTCTTACGTTGCCTCTTTTTTTATTTACAGCCACTTGAGCAGTTGAAATGTCTTGCTAAGCTTAATCTTGGTCATTTCCCCGAACCAGCAAGTCTACTAGACAATATTGGTGAGCTGAGATCTCTTGACCAGCTTGATCTTTGTGGTTGCTCAAGACTACCATGTCTACCAGACAACATTAGCCCGTTGAAATCACTCAATCTTCATGGTTGCTCAGGACTAGGAAGTTTACCACATAGTATTAGCATGTTGAAATCTCTTGACCAACTTGATCTTAGTGGTTGCTCAAGACTAGCAAGTCTACCAAACAACATTGGCGTGTTAAAATCTCTAAAATTACTTAATCTTAGTGGTTGCTCAGGCCTAGCAAGTTTACCAAATACCATTGGTGTGTTGAAATCTCTTGACCAGCTTGATCTTAGTGGTTGCTCAAGACTAGCAAGTCTACCAGACGGTATTGGCACATTGAAATCTCTTAAATGGCTTAATCTTAGTGGTTGCTCGGGACTAGCAAGTCTACCAGATAAAATTGGCGAGTTTAAATCTCTGAAATTACTTAAACTTCATGGTTGCTCAGGACTAACAAGTTTACCGAACAACATTGGTGATTTGAAATCTCTTACATCGCTTAATCTTAGTGGTTGCTCAGGACTAAAAAGTCTACCAAATAGTATTGGTGTGTTGAAATCCCTTAACCAACTTGATCTTAGTGGTTGCTCAAAACTAGCTAGTCTACCTGAGAGCATTGGGGGGTTGAAATGTCTTGCTAAGCTTCACCTTACTGGTTGCTCAGGACTAGCAAGTCTACCAGACAATATTAACAGGTTGAAATGTCTTGATACGCTTCATCTTAGTGGTTGCTCAAGTCTAGCAAGTCTACCCGACAACATTGGCGCATTGAAATCTATTTACCAGCTTGATCTTAGTGGTTGCTCAAGTCTAGCAAGTCTACCCGACAGCATTGGAGAGTTGAAATGTCTTGCTAAGCTTCACCTTACTGGTTGCTCAGGACTAGCAAGTCTACCAGACAGCATTGACAGGTTGACATGCCTTGATACACTTCACCTCAGTGGTTGCTCAGGACTAACAAGTCTACCAAACAGCATTAACAAGTTGAACCATCTTATTGTGCTTAATCTTCGTGGTTTCTCAAGACTAGCAAGTCTACCAAACAACATTGGCGAGTTAAAATCTCTTATATTGCTTCATCTTAGTGGCTGCTCAGGACTAGCAAGTCTACCAGATAGAATTGACGAGTTGACATCTCTTAAATCACTTAATCTTAATGGTTGCTCAGGATTAGCAAGTCTACCAGACAGAATTGGCGAGTTGAAATCTCTTGAATGGCTTAATCTTCATGATTGCTCAGGACTAGCAAGTCTACCAGATAGAATTGTCGAGTTAAAATCTCTTAAATCCCTTAATCTTAATGGTTGCTCGGGACTAAAAAGTCTACCAGATAGCATTGGTAGATTGAGATGTCTTACTATGCTTAATCTTAGTGGTTGCTTAAAACTAGCAAGTCTACCCGACAGCATTGGCGAGTTGAAATCGCTTTATACGCTTCACCTTACTGGTTGCGCAGGACTCAAAAGTCTACCGGAAAGCATTGGCGAGTTGACACGTCTTACTAAGCTCGATCTCAGTGGTTGCTTAAAACTAGCAAGTCTTCCAAATATCATCACTGATCTTGAATTCAAAGGACTTGACAAACAGCGTTGTTATATGCTGCGTGGATTCCAGGAAGTAGAAGAAATTGCATCATCCACCTATAAATTAGGCTGCCATGAATTTTTAAATTTGAGAAATTCTCGTGTGTTAAAAACTCTAGAGAGATTAGGCTCTTTGTTGTGGCTAACAGAATTGAGATTAACTGAGATCGATTTTGAGAGGATACCTGCAAGCATCAAGCACCTTACTAAGCTAAGTAAACTCTATTTAGATGATTGCAAGCGGCTTCAATGTTTACCAGAGCTTCCATCAACTCTACAAGTTTTAATCGCATCAGGTTGCATCTCTCTAAAATCTGTAGCAAGTATATTCATGCAAGGTGTTAGAGAATATAAAGCTGCTTCTCATGAATTCAATTTCTCTGAATGCCTCCAACTGGATCAGAATTCACGCACTAGAATTATGGGTGCTGCCCATTTACGAATTCGAAGCATGGCAACATCATTGTTTTATCAGGTAAATTCTTGCTCCCTCGATCTTGATTTATTTGAAGGAAAAAAATCACGTTAATTTTTTATATGTATCTCACATTCTCACTCTCTTCGGTGCAGGAATATCATGGTAGGTCATTAAAAGAAGTCCGGTTGTGTATTCCTGGGTCGGAAGTCCCGGAGTGGTTCAGTTATAAAAATAGAGAAGGATCGTCAGTAAAAATCCGGCAACTAGCTCATCGGCATCGTCGTTTCACTTTATGCGCTGTTGTTTCGTTTGCCCAAAGCGGGGAAAGGCGACCCGTTAATATTAAATGTGAATGCCATTTGATAAGCGAAGATGGAACCCAGATTAATCTCAGTTCCTACTATTACGAAATATATGAAGAAAAGGTGAGGAGTTTATGGGAAAGGGAGCATGTGTTCATTTGGAGTGTCCACTCTAAGTGCTTTTTCAAGGAGGCCTCGTTTCAATTCAAATCACCGTGGGGAGCTAGTACTGATGTGGTGATTGGGTGTGGTGTCCATCCACTGTTTGTCAACGAGCCTGAGCAACCAAACCCTAAAACTGATGGAAAATGCTTGACAAACTCTTCATCATCTTCTATTTGAAAGGGCAACTTAATACTATGGATGTATGGTTTCGCTCGTTGACACTGGTAACTCGTCTTCTCCTCTTCTTTTTCTATACAAATATGAAACAACTCAATTGGATTGAATCAAACATGAAACCAAATAGTCTTATGAATTAGAGATGAAAAGGATATATTTATCCTCCTACTTTAACATGATTCTTAACTAGGTTCCCGAACAAAACAAAAACATAATTATGATCAATTTGGATCCCATCTATCACATATTACCAATATTTCTCCCCACCATTAAAATTTATGATATAAATGACATCATTTTAAGTGGTGGTTCTAAGGTCCTGAAAAATAAAAAGGTTTTGCAGGTGGATTTAGGTTATTTTTTGTTTTTTTAATAATTTTTTTTAATTTTACTTTTGAATTAATTAAGAATTTAATTTTATATTTTCTTTATTTGCTTTATTTGATTAAGAACTTGTTTGATTTCTCTCAGATCTGGCGGTCCAAATAATTGAAGAGATCTGCAATCGTATCAAGACCGTTCAAATTTCCGATTCCAGCCCTACTCTCTCTTCGACCACAGGTTAGAAGAAGTAACTTCACTTTGTTTAATTAATATTTCTCTGAAATTGATTTTTAAAAAAAAATTCAGTTGAATCCGTAGAAGGTACGAAATTCGATACAGGTTCGTGTTTCGGTGCTGCAGAACTGTAGACATTTGTATTTTATATTGAAATTGTTTTGACTCAAAAACGTCATTTTGATTTTAATGAATTTTCAGGAGAAACTATTAATTCGGAGGAGGAGAGCGTATCTAATAGAGTTCGACAAGTTTCCCCATCTCAGGGGCCAACACTCCCCATTTTGCAGAAATTATCAATTTAAGTGATAAAATCCAGGTACTTATTTTGAACTTTGGTGTTGATGGGTATCGTATAGATGACTTGAAAAGACTTGGTTTTAGTTGTAGAATTCAGGCAATTTTAAATTTCATTGTTTTAGCTAGTAAATTAGGATTTTGCATTATTATGTTGATGGGGGTATTGATTTCTTTTCTTTCTTTGAATTTAATTGTTGTTGTTTTAGAATTTGAAGAAAGAACACTCAAATCTCTCTGATCAAGTAAAGACTGCCAAGGATTCCTTTCTTGGCCCCAATATTTTAGACACCCTTCAAAAACTCGGTGAGTATCCAATAGTGAAACTAACTTATTTCTTCTTTTCATTTTTTTTTTTTAGGGGTTTGGTTTTGATAATTTACTAGTTGGAATATTGGTCAGGTAATGAATATGAACTTCTTAAAAAGAAGTATCTACAAGAGTTGTCTGAGAGGAAGAGGCTTTACAATGAGGTGATAGAGCTTAAAGGGAATATTAGGGTCTTCTGTAGATGCAGACCACTAAATAAAGTTGAAATAACAAATGGTTCGAACCATGTAGTTGAATTTGACTCTTCCCAAGATAATGAGTTGCAGATCATTTCCTCTGATTCTTCCAAAAAGCAATTTAAGTTCGACCATGTTTTTGGGCCTGAGGATAATCAAGGTGATCTGATGTTTTATTTTATGTATTGCTACTGCAGACATCCTGTTAAAGATTATTTGTGCAATTGAAGCATCTAATCCTTTGTCTTTATGATATGCAGAGGCTGTTTTTGCGCAAACTAAACCAATAGTCGCTTCAGTTTTGGATGGCTACAATGTCTGCATATTCGCCTATGGACAAACAGGAACTGGAAAGACGTTTACTGTGGAAGGCAGCCCAGAAAATAGGGGTGTGAACTACAGAACATTGGATGAGTTGTTCCGAGTTTCTCAAGAGAGAAGTGGCATTACGAGATATGGTCTTTTTGTTAGTATGATGGAGGCTTACAATGAGAAGATAAGGGATCTCTTGATTGATAGTTCCAACCAACCGCCTAAAATGTTAGTTTCCTCTTTTATTGCTACTGTATCTGATAATCAAAATATAGTCATTTATGTCAAAAATTTTGGTTGCAAAAATTTTATATTAATAATTTTCTGTTGCTTTGATTTATATCATTTTGTTACTTGATGATAATTAACTATTGGTTAGTACAAACATCATGCGTGTGGCTATTTGACATGAAAAGTGGATCATGGAAGTTCTGTATTAGCCCAATTTTCATTTGAGCACTCTATCTGCGAATGATAATAAATACCTTGTTCCTCTCTAGTGTAGATAAGCATGACATCTAATTGGGTTTAGGGTTTAGGGTTTAAAAGATTATGTAGAAGACTCCCATTTGGAAGCCCACTGGTATGAAAGATTTATAGTATAACGGTAAGAAATTGAGTTACATGAATGAAGTTTGATGAAATTTTTGTTTTCTTATAGGCATGGAGGTTGGAGATAAAACAAACAGCTGAAGGAACACAAGAAGTCCCAGGACTCGTTGAAACTCGGGTGACTGGCACAGAGGATGTGGGGAATTTACTCAAGTCTGGAAGTCGGGCCAAGTCTGTTGGATCAACCAGCGCTAATGAGCTTAGCAGCCGCTCTCATTGGTAAAAATGAACTCTGCTTTCTTTTCTTGGTTTATTCTTTCCTCACATATAATAGCAACTAACTAGTTTTTTGGATCTGTGAATCCAAACTATTAAAGAAATATACTGATTAATTGAAGTGGTAGTACTAATGACCACAACATTGTTGGTCTGTAGTTTGTTGCGAGTAACAGTGAAAGGAGAGAATTTAATAGATGGACAAAAGACAAGAAGTCACCTATGGATGGTCGATTTGGCTGGTAGTGAACGTGTGGGAAATATTGATGTTGAAGGTGGAAGATTGAAGGAATCGCAATTCATTAATAAATCTCTTTCAGCACTTGGTGATGTTATATCTGCCCTCGCATCCAAAACTGGCCACATTCCTTACAGGTCTTCCTCTCGCACAGTCATTCTAGTAACATGCTATCCATTTACCATATTAATGAAGATATTTGTTTTCTTCCGATTAGGAACTCAAAGCTAACCCATATGCTACAGAGCTCTCTCGGTGAGTATTAAGTTTACTATTTTTTATGGTTACCAGACATTCTTATTGTCTTGTTTGTGAGTAAAAGATGATAAGTGAAACATGAATGCAGGAGCAGATTGTAAGGCCTTGATGTTTGTCCAAATAAGTCCAAGTGCTACTGACCTTGGAGAGACGCTTTGTTCACTAAATTTTGCGAGTCGAGTGCGAGGAATTGAAAGTGGTCCTGCCCGCAAACAGGCTGATCTGACTGAACTTTTCAAATACAAGCAAATGGTATATATACTCTGCTCGTATTTGATGAGATTTCTTTTGTCTCAGTTTCTTTTACAAATAATGGTATATATTCACATTTTCTTTCCTTCTTTCTTTCCTTTTTTAATTACAAATAATCAGGTGGAAAAGTTAAAGCATGATGAGAAGGAAACAAAGAAGTTGCATGATAGCTTGCAATCATTGAAGTTGAGGCTTGCTGCTAGAGAACATATCTGCAGTACTCTCCAAGAAAAGGTAATAATGATGGCTTGAGCTCCATTTAATTTTATTTATTTATTTATTATTACCATGAAACATGTGGAATGGAGCCGTTTTTTAGTTTTTATTTTGTTTTTATTGTCCCTTAAATAGCATTTTTAAGTCATTTTGTAGACTAACAAATAATTCATCTTACAATAGGTTCGAGAGCTTGAGAATCAGTTGGGTGAGGAAAGAAAAACTAGACTAAAGCGGGAAACACGAGCCTTTGCCGCTGCCGCTTCTCAGTTTACGAAACAAGTAGTAGAGAAGAGAAAAGTAGATTAGAACCCACCTCTGTGTCCTTCAAAGCTGAGGATGCCGTTGCGAAAAATCACCAATTTCATGCCTCCACCATCTCCTCTACAAAAACAGAAAACTGTTTCTGTTTTATCTTCAATGAATGACAAAGAAAACAATCCAAGAACCACAACTGCAGGAGCAAATACAAAAAGCCTTATGAAACCCAGACGCATGTCTGTTGCAGTCAGACCTCCTCCTCCAATGTCAGCACAGGTTTTTCAGCCTAAGAGACGGGTATCCATTGCTACCTATCGTTCAGAGCCAACCTTAAACATGACTACACCACTTCAAACCTCGCGATATAAAAATGGGAATGTAGTTGCCAGAGTTCAGGACTGCAAGGAATTCAAACTGTTCTCTCCATTGCCAGAGTTCAGGACTGCATCAGAGACTACACCTACTGTTATGAGAACCAGTAGTAAATTCATGGGGAGTCCTCCAGCACAAGCAGGTTCTTGGAAGCCAAAGCACCCAACAGTTGTTGCACTGCAACGAAAATCTCTGGTGTGGAGCCCGCTAAAGTTAAGGAGCTTTCAAAACTGGAGACCATCTTTGTTGCCCTATCGACCATCATCAACTAATGAGGTGCAATAAAACTTTAGTCTTCATTGTCATGATAAATAGTAGGTAGGAGTATATACTTCTTTTTCTTGATTCCCATCTTCCCATTTTTCTTACATGGATATTAATCGCAATTGTATGCTACTTGCCTACTAAAATTCAATGTTCAGTGACATTGTTCTACATCAAAGATTCAGACTCATTCGCGGTTGGATGTTATTTGCTTTCCTACATGAGTCAACAACGGTGAGAAACACAGATAAAAAAACACACATAGGAGTTTTTCTATCCTCTGTGAGGTTTTGCATTTTTGATTAAGAGATCTTATTTAAAGTGGATTTGTGACAGAGAGAGCGAAGTTGGACCAGAGAATTTGATCAAGGGAATTTGATTGCTGAATTTTTCTGTTAAATGCTCTTTACAGCCAAGTAATATTTTCAATGTATTTGTTTCATGGAGATAACCTCAAAATAATTTTAAAAAAAAAAACAATAGGTTTTCAAGAGTGACCTATTGAAAATATATAAAAAAATTATGAAGATTGAGTGTAATTTACTAAAGGTATTCTGATTTTTAGGTTACGATACTGGAAATTAAAAAGTATAACAGCGCAACCCATTAACTATGTTATTTTCTCAAGTATTTTTCAGGTTGTTCTAGTTTGCTAGATCTTCTTTTTTTTTAATGACAAGTGTTAATTTAAAAGAAAGAAAAACTTAATAATTTGTGCATGTAAAATTATGATTTTATTCCTAGCTTTGTTCTAAACAATTGTTTGTTCTTCAGCATGAGCTAAATTTATTCTGGATGATTTGGAAAACTTATAATTCATATTCTAATCTGAATTAAATTCAATTTAATTCTAAAAATTATACATCTCGTCAATCTTGATTTACTTATGATTAATCTAATTAAATCCGATCATATCAGCATAAAAAATAAAATAATAAAATAATATCATTTTATTCATAAATGGCCTTTTTTAATATAAAAAAATGAAGGTAAAATCCCTCACAAGTAAAGTAAAAACAAATATAATGTGAATTTTCATGACCAGTGCTCTGAAGCGAAGCAACAAAAACTGTTTTTACATATCACTTGCATGTGTAAGTGTGTCCTTCATGATTTTCTCAATGTACTCAGACAAGACATGTATGATGAGCACACACACCAACCACCCTGCAAAAAGCTTGCTAGGAATCAGAAAAGATGGCAGATCCGGAACCCCAGCTTAACCTCATCGAGAATTATCCAAAAGATGGAGAATTTCACTATCTATTTAGGAAGAAATTAACTCATAGTGATCTTTGGCTGGGCTTGATTTTGGTGGGGAAAAGGTCGAAGGAGCACCTTCTTGAGCTTAAAAATTCATCAGCTAGTGTTAAGCTTTATACACCTGCTTCAGCCAATACTTCTATGAGTTTTCAGCGTCATGGTCGCCAATCGACTTTGCAGCTAAGCAAGGTTGGGTGGACGGAGATTGCCACCAGTAATGGCTTTGTTGAGGATGATGAAATTGACTGCTGGTGTGTTTATCATGATGAAGATGGACAAAGAAGAGCAAGTTTGCTCGTTCAAAAGATTAGCAATTAGTAAAATAAAATCACTTGCATGATCTATGCTTAATATAGTTCAAAATGTAAGGATTATTTTATATTTGAATTCACTCACGATCACTTTATTGCCCTAAATTGATGTGTTTTTGGGTGAGGAGGATCAAAATATGGCTTCTGATAGATAAAGGAAGGTTGCTTATGGTTGTGTAGGAAAGCAGGGAGTCAGTACTGCTCCCTGTATTGAGAGGTGCATAGATTTATTTTCATCATCATAGTTTTCTTGGTAAAGGATATGGCAGTAATAAATTAGAGAATTTTTTTTAATTTTTTTGTATTTCTATGTTTTCATTTAAAAAAAGAAGGACACAATTGGCTTCGTTTGTTAATTCAATTACATGTCAACTTGAAGTCCAATCAAGATTAAGTTTTTTTAAAAAAAAAATCTATTTAGATATTAACATGATATCAATCCACAGACAAGATTGACTTGCCCAAACCTTAAAATTTTATTTTATTTTATGTATATAAAACAATAATTTTTATTGTCCTAACCCCCCTGTATAAATTGTATGAAATCTTTTTATTCAATCTTGGAGTGATGATTTTCATAGAAATATTAATTTGCATGACAATTTTCGGTTAAGCAAAGAAAGTGTTTTAAACATGTGTGACCTATGAAATCTTTTTCCCATCAAGTTTGCACTTTATGATTATTTAGACTATGTTAAAAAATAATATAAAAAAAGCAATAATTTAAATATTGTAGTAAAAATATAATTTTTTACTCTAAATTATTTTTTCTTATAAATGTATTTTTTAAAAACTATATATATATATATACACACATGGTTTGTTTTATAAAAACTAAAAGCAAGTAAAATAAATATTTTAACCATTTTTCATAGAAGAATACGAAAATGAAATACTATGGACCTTTAGAAACTCATTTATAACAATAAAACATATTTTAAATGATCTAAAATATCAAGTCGAATCAAATTTAAAATGAATTAAGATTTAATTTATGTTTTCCTACATCACTGAAAATAGAAACCATTTTTATTGAGTTTTTCTCTTAAAATTTAATTTATAAATATTAAAATTTAAGGTAGTAGTGATATGACTTTACCTCGTAAAAACTTTCTCTCTTCTTGAATTTTTTTGGTAAATTTATCTCTCCTCTCTTCTCGATAAACTATCAAAAATTATCCCATAAATTTTTTGTTAACTCAACAATGTTTACTGGAGGACTAGCGTGATCTCTCTAATCATAAGCTAGTAGAAATATTAATTTGCTTAACTAATTTCGATTGTGCAAGGAGAGTGTCCTAATTCATTTTGATACATCAAAGGCATGACGCATCAACTCTTTTAATTATTCAATGATGTATTTTAGGAGATTTTATTCCAAATCAAATCCTTGCTGAGATAAACATAAAGATCAGATTACATATAATATATACATATAAATTTATTTGATGGAAACTTTATAACAACAAGATATATAAAGTGTGTGGTTTTTTTATTGCACCTTTTTTTACTTTTCATCCTTATATACATATAAATTTATTTGATAGAAACTTTATAACAACAAGATATTTAAAGCGTGTGGTTTTTTTATTGTACCTTTTTTTACTTTTCATCCTTACATAATTAATTGTGAATTGTAATAGTAAAATTTATTAAAAACATTCACTTGATCCTTAAACTTTTTCTTTTCACAATTGAGCCTTTTTAAATTGAAATTGGAGCCCAATTCCATGTGTTTTTAGGAGTGAGGGTTGAATTGAAAGAAAGGACTTAAGTAAAAAATACAGATAACATAGGTGGCAAGTCTATAATTTATTTAAAAAGTTCATTTAGTTCCCTAATTTTTTAAGGTATTAGGTAGCCAATCCCTATGATTGTTAAACATTATATTTTGGTACCATAACTCATTTTCCCTCTCTCTTTAGTTCTTTTTCAGTAGAGTAGAGAGGGGAGTCGCCAGATTCTAGCTTAAAAAGAAAAGATTGTTGTTTGTGACAATTTCAATCACTAAAATGATCAATATTTTTGTCAAATGGTTTCATATAATAAGAAGAGTTAAGATTATGTATTTTCTTACCTTGAATACATATAAAAAACATATATAAGCTTTAAAATATTTTTGGTTTCGGATTAATTATGCATTTAAGGGTGGTTTTTTGTGTGTGTTTTAGGCTATGAATTGTTTAAACAAGGTTCCAATAGTGTTTTTTAGGTGTTTTGGGTGAAAAATAAGTTTTTGATTGAAAGGCAGAGAGCCTCGTTTTTTTTGTCACCACAGTAGTTGCATTTTGGGCAATTATAGTCGATTCATTATCTGTCAAGACATATGACAAGTCATTTATTTGTTTTGGTTAAGAATAGAGCAGACAACACGTCATTCATCCCATTAACTTTAGAAAAAAAAAAGGAAAAGAAGAAGATCGCCCATGGGCCTTTTCTTTATGGGCTAGGCGCTAGGCCTAACTTACCAGGCCTGCAACACAAGGCCTCATTTTTTTTATATATATATTCTGTTTTTTTACTTACTAATTTTTTACATGTATTTATAAAAATAATTCTTGCATTTATGTTTTGATTAATAACCCTTATTTATGTGTTTTGGCTTATTTAGCCTTTTTCACATAGCGATTATTTTTTAATTATATTAAGTGTATTTAATTTTTTTTATGAAGTTGATGTGATTCATCTATAAATATTTTTATGTTTTATAAACTTATTTTTAAAAATAAAAAACATTTATTGTTTTATAATATTTTTAATATTTACAACCCTGTATAAAATGTTTTTCCTTTTATTTTATTTAATAAGTTTGTGTGTATGTCAATTTCTGTTACAGATTAATTTTTATAAATATATTCACTATACATAATTTAATAAATAACCAGTATTTTGATATTAAATATTCTAATCTATATTTTTTGTCAATTTTTCTAATTATATTTTTATTTATTTTCGATGGCTTTTTTTTAAATTTATTTACAAAAATAATTTGTGATTTATGTAATTAGATGCATTCGTAAGTTTTTTTATTTACATTTAAGATTTTTTATGTAAAAAAATGCTTTAAAGAATTCTACATGTTCAGTTTCTTTTCTCATGTATTGTTGTTTTTAATTTGATCCTTATTGTTTTAATTTTTTAATTGAATCTTTTATTAAAAAAAAATTATTGTTTTTAATTCCACCTTTCAATCCAAGTTGATTGCATAATTTTTTTCCCTCATTTTTTTGACTTTTTTTAATTTTTTATTCTTTTCAATTAGCTTTGAAATTGAAAATTTGTTGTTGCCATTTAATTTATTTTTTTCTTATGGTTTTAACCCTAATTATTTTAATTGCTTTTTTTTTGTCTAATTTTTTTCAAGTCATCCTTCAACGTTTTATTTCCTAGGGATTGGGCTTCATGATTTTTTCATGTATAATGCTTCTGATATGATAACTCGATTCATGAATTTGAAAAGTTAATAGGGGATGACATCTTCTTTTTTTTCTTATTTTTCTTTACAGTATTGTTGTTTAATATTGTTTTTTTTAAGAAAAATGGCTTTGAGGTTATTTTTATTTTTTTTTTACTAAATTATCTCAGTCTTATGACCTTGGAAGCAGGTTTTCCAAGTTAATCCAAGCTATCTCACCCCTTAATATTGAGATTACATGTCTACTATGCTGGTTCAAAATAGCTCACACCAATTTTTTATCCTTTTTTCACCTTGTTACATCCTTCTATATTTAATTGGCTAAAAAATAAATTATATTATCATTTTATTCTTGGATAAAGTTTTTTTTTCATGTTATCATGATGGCTTATATGTATATATGTGTGTGTGCACATACGTGCTATCATTGCCTCTCTTTGTATCCATATGAGTTAAGTAAAGCCAACTTATTTAGTTGGTTAAGACTTTAACCCAAGTAATTTGATTTTTTTTAGAAAAACATGTTTACAACATCTAAAAATATTACTAGAAAAATTGTATGTAGCCACAACATAGCGCGAGCATCAATCTAATGATAAATTAATCATTAAAACCAAGATTACTTAATTATTCAACATCTTATCTTTTTAATTAATCTTTTTAGTGTATGTTTATTAATACAATACAAAGTGTTTTTTAAAAAGTATTTTTCAATTAAAAATGCATTAAAATTATATTTTATTTTATTTTATTTTATTTTTAACATCAATACATCAAAACCATTAAAAAACATTAATTTAATACCCTTTTAAAATAAAATTAGTTTGAAACAAGTTAAACCACAATATTAAGCACACCCTTAATTAAAAAAAAAAAAAATACTTCTCCATAACTAGATTATATATAGACAAACATTACTATACATACACACGCCAAATTAAAAATCAAATATAAACACAATACTAATATAACATTTTGTAATTTACATATAAGACCCAGCCTAGGTCTGGAAAAAAAAAATCAATTCAAAATGAAATATAACTTGGATCAAGTCTCAAATCAACAAGATACTAAGATTGATTTGTTGCACCCGTTTTATAATTACATATTGTTATACCAGTAGAAATTTTAGAATATCTCATGTCTACTCAGAACCCATAATGATGTGATGACCCCTTGTAAGGTGTTGGTATGACCTTCAAGGGAACACTTTTTCTAAGTGTTATCCCCATTTTTTCAGTCATATCCATGTCCTCTGGCTTGAGGCCATCTGGCAAAATCCAATCAAATGTAAGCAAGAGCGATCCGAGAGCCAAAGGAAGTACACGAGAAGCAAGAGGCATGGCAGGGCACATTCTACGGCCAGAACCAAATGGTATGAACTCAAAATGATGACCTTTGTAATCCACCATGTTTGGTTCCAAGAACCTTTCTGGCTTAAAAACCAAAGGGTCATCCCAAGTCTTTGAATCCCTTCCAATGGCCCACACATTTACTAAAATTGTTGTCTCTTTAGGGATGTAATAACCTAGCATCTTGCAAGGGTTCATGGCCATGTGCGGGACTAAAAAAGGGAGAGGGGGGTGAAGCCTTAGTGTTTCCCTGATGACTGCCTTTAGGTATGGGAGATTCTCAATATCTTTATCTTCGAGCTTTTTGTTGGGGCCAATGGTGCTTCTCAACTCGGATTGGACTGTCTTCAGTACTTTAGGGTTACGTAGAAGTTCAGCCATGGCCCATTCCAATGTGCTTGTTGTTGTATCAGTCCCTGCCGTAAACATTTCCTATAAGAAAAAATCATAACAATAATTAAGTTTGTTAGCGATTTAATTTTGTATACTTTCTCCTATTAATTGCTTTACTATGGTTTGGAAAAAAACTAGGTCCTAAGATAAATATTATAATTAATTTTTTGTTTTTGAACATTACTTAAAAACAAAAATAATATACCTAGTTTAAATTTTAAATGACAGATTTGATAAATTAACTTAAATTAATTAAAATAATATTATTTAGAAATAGATTAATAAAAAATCAAATCAAGTTTTAATCGAGTCAAGTCAACTTGATTTTATTTTAAAATACAACTTAAACTACAAGTTAAGTCAACTAGGTTCTAAGTTGATTCATGGAATCGAATTAGGTTAGGTTCGATAAATTTATTTAAAAACACTTTTAATTATTAAGTGAATCCAATCAACATTATTTTATATTATTATTTTTTAAGTAAACATGTTTCTATATAAAAAAAATTCATCTTTTATGTTTGATTTCTTTTTAAAATAAATGATTAATGTAAAATTCTTTCTATGTAAAGAAAAGATAAGCTTAAAATATTAGAAATTAACAACTCACGGTTTATAAGAGATAAAAAAAACATTTTACGAGATTAGCTTCGGTATTAAATTATGATCTCTATTGTTTTTTTATTTTTGTTAACATAACCAAACAATAAAAAAATAAAAAAATGAAATATATATTTCTCAAGACAAATTATTTTACATAAAACTAACGATGTATCCTTATTTTAAATATTTCACGCCTCAATCCCAGTACTCCAACCATGATTATCTATTGAAGGAGTAGAGTAGAGGGGATCCACCATCAATTTTCTTTTTTTAATTCATCAATTTTTGTAATTGTTATTAATTCATCAATTATTTAAATTGTTAAAAACTATCAGACCAGACAATATCTTGATATTCGATCTTTTCAGCATTAATTATCTCAGATATCCTCCTCTTCTTGTTTTTTATTGGCAAGCAATGATGTGTACCAAAAATATACGATTGCTCTCTCAACCCTTCCTTGATAGATAGATGTCTAGCTGTGCCAACAAATCTTTAATTATACTCTTTAGTTTTACATGGTTTAATTGCACTTTGCACTCTCAATAATCACATAGTTTCTTATTTGCACTATGTATCTAGAACCATAGTTTCCATGGTCCAAGCCATAGTTATAAGACGGAGTTGATTCGGAACAAGGCTCCGATCACGGGATTGGCGAATTAATATACATTTACCAATAAAGTTTCTTTTAAAGTTCAATCTGAATTGATTTTAATTTTTTTTTAAGCCAACTCAACTCAAAGGTGGAGGTCAACTTACCAGCGGGGTGGACTTTACTAAGAGTGGTCTGAGCATAACAAAGATGTCAAACGAGATGTTAATTACTAGGAAGACAATTATATTAACACAGGCTTCGCCGCCTCCGAACAAAAACACAAAAATGCATGCAAAGATTTTGCTGGTGGCTGAGGTCTATTAATTTTGTATATTTGTATTATAATTCTTGTACTTGTCTACTTAGTGGCATGTGTGAGAGATAGGACAGGAGATCAGAACCAAAGGAAAAGAGATGCAACTTACAAAGACAATAACATTGATCGTTGTTGAAGAAAATCTAGAGGGCTCCTCCACGCCATCACCACGAAACTCCAAAAGGACATCGAGATAATCTTTCCTCTTGTCATCTCTGCTATTAATTTCCTTTTGCATGCTCTCTGTTCTTTCTTTGATGAACCCTCCTGCAATCTCAAAGGCTCTTGCAACATGGAACTGTGTCTTCCTCCTTATACCTTGTGGATCAAGCCATCTTAAAATTGGCAAAAAATCAGCCATGTTAGGCTTACCTGCCAGCTCCATGACCTTACCTGCATGCTGAAAAAACTTAGCTCCCCTCTCCGATTTTGGGTCCAATAAATCTTTAGAAAACATGAGGTTGCCAATAAGATTAAAAGCCATCAAGAAAATGTATCTCCCTAGGTCAATAGCGCTAGTGCCGTTGGCGCTACCATCTTCTATGTATTGCAGCATGCCATCGATGCACCTAGTTCGTGCACCCTGCATGGAATCAAGGCGGCTAGTCACAAAGAATTCGGTGGTGCATAAGCGCCTTAACATGCGCCAATGCGGTCCATATTGGGCTGTGATTATAGACCCTTCATTGCCAAAATCACCTTTCATAGCCTCATATATTTTTCTCCCAGCCAACACCGCATCATGATTCTTGAACATCTCACGAGCCACTTCGCTCGAGGAAATGACCACGTTACTCATGGACCCGAGCCAAATGGTCATGATTGGACCGTGAACACGAGCCAACTTAGCAAAGGACTCGTGGGGTGCCCAACCCAACTGGAAGATGTTGCCAACCACTGGCAATGGTCTAGGCCCTGGTGGTAGCTGCCCTTGCTCCTCTGAACGACGGTAACGACGTTCAGTCACCACTGCCCATGCAACCCATAGCAAGACTGCTAGAACTAGACCTGCAATTTCATAGTCCATATCTTTCTTTGTGTGTATAACTAGTGCTGGTTTCTTGTACCCTAGGTAGGCTTCATTTTATATAGAATTCCAAGCATGTCAAGTTAAAAATTGTATATTGATCATAAAATTTGTATTCGTCTTCTTTAGATAGGAATCTAAACCAGTATATATATATCGGGCACAACGCAATAGAATAAAATAACATTTAGGAACATGGTGCAAACCATATTTTTTAAAAATTTAAATTTTTTTGTAAAAATTAATATTTTTTATATGTTTTGGATTATTTTGATATGTTAATTTTAAAATAATTTTTTTAAAAAAATATATAATGTCAATACATTTCGACACAAAATTCTTTTTAAAAATAACTATAATTACATTTCTAGACTCCAAAAAAAAAAACAAGAAATAGCGTCCAATCAGCCAAAATCACCCACGAAGAAGAAGCTAATAATGCATAAATTCAATTTCTTATACTTAATTCATATCCATCGGCTTGGTCCCCCATCCCTCCTGCGGTCCCAAATTAACCCATCGACATATATTCTTGTTATATGTGGATTGATTAACTTATATGCTGCAAGAATTAATTGATTGACTTAGTCCCACTAATTTGATTCCAAATACATCAATTTCCTTGATGAAATCCAAATACATCAATTTAGTTCGATTAGCTTTATAGATTTGACCCCATAAATGCTCAATGCATAATTTGCAGGGAGCTAATTTGATTCCTTTGTCTAAATTCCAAACCTTTGAGGTATTTTTTTGCATTTCAAGTTAGAAACGATAAGCTTCGTCTCTTTTTTATTTTTCCTACACTTTAACTGACGAGAGATTTCATTGAAACATGACCACGAACAAGGAAGAGAAGAAGGAGAGACTACGAGAGGCTAGAGGCTGCAAAAGGAAGGAGCCGCCAATTAACACTCATGAAAGCAACTAGTACTGCGTAAATACAATCTCTCAAGTGAAGTTAAGAGCTTTACTGATGATTTTATATTATTTTTTAATGCAATCTTATATATGAATTCTTTTAATTTAAAACTTTCATAAATTTATTATTAGCTATGTTGATTTGATTTTAAATATAAAAAATATGGAGTTATAAAAATTAAACTGATCATTTAATTATTAAAATTATAATATTTTGTCAAAAAAATATTTTAAATTTAAATTTTAAATTTTTTAGATGAAAAACCAATAATATTTCTTTTATTACGTGCATTCTAATGCATCCAAATCAAAATCAGACTAATTAAAAAGGTAAATGTCAATATGTTCTTAAAGGATGACAAAAGTAATTAAGAAGTTTGTAGATCCTAAGGTGGTTAAAAGGGAACAAATGTGTGTGCCTGTGTGTTTGATGTGGTCGGTATTTAATTAGTTTAGTACTTTTGTCTTCTTCTAGTAATTAAATTTCTTATGGATTTCTATTGAAATGTGTACGAGTTCAAATTTTTATTATATGAAGATGTCACGCATTAAACAGTGAAAACTTTATAAATTTATTATTGTTTTGTCTAGAGAAAAAAAACTTTAATAAGACTAGTATTTTACTAATCCTCAAACCATCAGAACTAAAACATATTTTCTGTAAATACGTATTTAGGCCTAGGTTTTTCTAAGCATAATCATGCACATTCTTGTGTTCGAAAAAGATAGCAAGCATGAGAAATTCATAGCGTGCTGCGAGGATCGGATTGGCCTAAATATATTTTTGAGATTTTTTTTTTCAAAACTTTTATTGGTTTTGATTATAGTAAGAAATCTCTCTTTGCTTGTGGATACAGGCGCATTCGTACTGTATAAAATTATTGTATTGTGTGATTGTTTCTTTTCTATTTACTGTGATATTCTTTGTCTATAATAACAAATATTATAGATGGTGATGTATGCATGCATGGTGAATCTGATTTTGATTTTGATGGATGAAATCTTCCAAAACCTCACCACCTCAGCTAAGATATACAATAATTCAGATCCATCGGCTAGGTCCCATAGCCATCAACATTATCTTATATGTTAGGTGAATTGGTTAACTTATGTTGCATAAATTGATTGACTTATGTAGTCCCCTCCTGCGGTCCCAAATCCATATGCATCATCTAAAATAATTCTCCTAGTAAAGCTCCTAGCTCCGCCCCTGTTTATTTGCCATGGCAGCTCTTATGAACCATAGTGGTAAATAGAATTCCCCCATGACTAGCTAGCTAAGGTCACAGGGAAGAAATTCGTTTTGTTTTTCCACATCTAATTCATCGATCATGCATTATGCTCGCTACGCCAATTCATCCATGCGTAGGTCTTCTCAAAATTCATTAATCACTAGCAGCCTTAGATTACATTCATCAAGGTGATTCGTACAAGGGTTAGGAGCAGGAACAGATCAAGAACATGGAAGTGCAACCACTTCCAACTGATGAGGAACTAAAACATTTATTCACAAAAACCTTGATTCAAGAGGACATGCTAGAGACTTTACTCTTCTTGGAGATTCAAATGATCACTCAGCTAATCTACGTACCAACACCAATCTGCAATCAAATTGTCACAAGAGAATATTGCAAACCAGGATGCATCCACCAGATCAAAGATTGGTGACCATTTACCATGAAAGTAAAAGCAAGAGCTTCAAATTGCAGGAAAATGATTATGGGCTTGCATCGTTAAGGAGAGCGATTTTGAAGTTTGGTGACAACATTGCTTGTTGGGTGTGTTGCCATGACCTAGGTGGTAACTTCAGTCTACTTATTGAAAATGTAACAGCAGCATTTCCTTTAATCAATTTCATTCCATTCATTAATTTATTGCAATTATAATCTTCTTTTTTTCCGTATATACAAATTTATTAGATCATGATAACCTATAAATAAATTATAAAATTCAATCTTTATCAAATTTAATATTAAAAAATAAAATTAAAATTAAAATAGAACAAAAATCTAATATTGAACATGGCTACTCCTCAACCTAACCGGATTCAACACTACTACCCGTTGGTGGGGAACAAAAATATTCATTCACAAAAACCATGACTCAAGATGACATGCTAGGTTTAGCTCTTGTTGGAGATTCAAAAAGCTTCTTAACAAGTCTACCAAAACCCATGCTCGATGAAATTGGCATCAGAGGGCTAGAAATCGAGATCTACGCACCACCCAGCAATAAGATTTGGGTGACAATAAACTATGATGGGGCAATCAAGATTTTTCGATTGGAAAAGATTGCTTGGGCTGAAAGTTCTTGTGAAAAGTGACTTCAAAGTTGATGACAAAATTGCTTGTTGGTCACTTTACCATGCTGATCTTGGTCCAAATGGGATCTTAACTTTATTGATTGAAAAGGTAACAGATCAGTAAATTTTTTTATTGATGAATTTAATAATAATTATGATTGTTATGGGAAAAAAAAAAGAAAAATGAATTAGCTTATAATTATTATTTTTTTCCCCTGAAAATAGGTTCCTATTGACATTGACAAAGAGAGTGGTCTGTAACAAAGCAGGGCTGAAAATGCTGAGGATGGTAAAGGAGCGAAGAGTTTGAGCCTGGTGCCATTGGTCTCCTTTCTCTTCTTTTACGAGTATAGATGTTGAAGGCAAATAAATTTAGGGAAGAGTTTATTAGTTTAATAACAGGTATCTGTTTGGCTTGGCATCCCATTTGTTTATGTGTTTCAAAATCTTTTAAATTTATCTTTCACCTGAAAAAAAAAAGAAGATATTTTGAAGTATTTTTTAATAATTTTAATGTGTTAATGTAATAAATAAAAAAAATCTAAAACATATTATTTTAATGTATTTTTAATTAAAAATACTTTTAAAAAACACTATATTTAACAATAACTTTCACAAAATAAGAAGTTGATATTTTAGGCTAGTATTTTTGCAGATTGTTGAGAAATAAATGCTACTAGAAAATAAATAAAACATAACATTTTCAAGATTCTTGCATTAATATTGATTTTATCTTGATTTGATAATATCTTTTCCTTTTAAACCAAATCAATCTTCCGAATTCAACTTAACCTAAACTTCACCGCAAATAACTAGGTGCTGGTTATACAATTTTACCATATAAACTCCCTATGATCCATATATTAAGCATAGTGATTACAAATAGTTAATTTGATAAGCTTGAATAACTAATTTTATCTGATCTATCCCTCTTTCTACCTATAAATTCAACTTACTAAATTACTAATTTGAGACTAAATTGCTAATTTAAGATTTAACTGAGATCAAGTTTAAAATTAAACTAGATATAAATTAAATTGATTGACCCAACGAGTTTATCTACAATCTAATTAAAATTTGATTTGATTTAAAAAAAAATTATTTTATTTTAAAAAATAAAACAACTTCACTTTAAATTAACTTAAGTTAATCTGCTTAACTTGTAACTCGGATCTTTGTCCGAATTAATTTTAATAACTTTGTGCACAAATTAAATAAAAAACTTAGTTTAGATTAAGTTTTAAATTAAATCACATGAAAGTTGACTTGATTAAAATTTGATCAAATTAGTGAGCAACATGCTACTTTGTTAAAAATTAATTTTTTATTTTATTTTTTTAAAATGATATCATTCAATTTTTTAAAAAAAATTTTAAAATAATGTTATATTAAATTAATTTAAATAAATTTATGAAACTCTTGATCTAAATTTAAAAGCAAGTCAAAGGAAGTGCCGGAGCTAAAAATTGCGCACAAGTTTGAATGAAGGACCATCTCTCAATAAAAAAACTTTGAGGCCCATTATTCTCGAACTTTTTGGTAACCATATGCAAATACCCATAAATTCAAAGGCCATTCCCACAACAAACAACAAAAAATTTGGATTATAAATTCAATCTGCTATAATTATCACTTCAAACCCCAACCAGTAACCCCAAGATCATACCATACAATCACTCACCAACGTGTACGGTGATCAACAAAAACAAAACTGTACAACACAAGAAAAATAAAAAAAATATATAAACAGAGAAAAATCTGATTGGCCAGCTCACCTTTGTATTCAAGTTTCGCGGCAACCTGTCTCGTTCTCTCTCTAAAAGCGCTTCTCTTTTTCATAACTTCGAAAACTCTCTTTTATTCTCTCTCTAGAAAACCCTTCTCTATATAATACATAAAGCTTGCATATTTCTCGCTTCACAGCCCTTTGTTTCACTGTATGATTTATATCCAGATATCAATTACTCTGAATCTGTAAGTGTATAGTCTCGGATCTGTGAATTAGGGTTTTTAGAGGAGTAATTTTGAGATTTTTGTTGGGGGTTTTACAAGGAAAATTTTATTTTTTTTGGTTTCGAATTTTGGTTTTTTGTTACTTTTATTCGTCTTCGTTGTTTTTTTAGGGGATTTTGGAGATGGGTTTTGAATTGTAGCTTGAATTTTAGTCAAATTTGAAATTTTGGGTTTTGGTGATGTTTTGAATTTGATTTTTTTTTTCAATTTTGGGGGGTTTATTTTTCAATTATTTTAGTTTTTTCTGAAATTCGTTTAAAAAAATTCTGAAAATTTGAAATTTGGGGGGTCTTTTTTTGTGTTTTTGTTGAAAACTGTGATGTATGGTGATGGCACTGGGTGGTTTTTTTCCTTTCGATTCTCTTTTGAAGTGTTTCTGTAATAGATTGCGTATTTTGTTGTGATTCCTCTGTTTCTATTTGCTAGATTTGAATTTTTTTTCATATATGTATATTGCTTCTTTTGATACTTTGATAAAATGATGTGATTTTGGTAATGTTGTAAAAGTTGAATACTTGTGATGGGTTTTAACCGAGGTTTTAAATATAATATGAGTGGGGAAAATATTTTCCACAATTAGTGCAGATTAGTAAACTCTAACTCGAGTTTAAGTATCCGAAGAACCAAAAACAAAAAGGAAAAAAGTTTAATATTTGGATTGTGTATTATGTTTCAAATTCTGGGGTGGAAGATCTTCTTGCTTTGCCAAGTGTTTTATATTCTTATCATTAATGTAATGTATGTTGTGAATTTTGATGGTTATTAATGTCCATGTTAAAGCTTTAAGCAAATTGGTGTTGCTAATTTGTTCATTGATTGTTTCAGATAGATAGGTCCTCCATGGCCCCAACAAGGGAAAAAAGTGTGAATAAGCGGTTTCTGAATGAGGCATCACCTGAAAAGGAAGTCGAGAGTTAAGGTCTGCTGCTTTTTTCTCATTTGTTCTGCCTAATCTTTTTTTATTTCTGCCTACTGTTGCGATCATTTTCCTAGACCTTGCACCTTCATGCATATCGAATGCCTTCTAGACTTGATCTGCTTTTTGTCACTGGTTTTCGAAAAACATTTACAAGACTATTCCCTGTCTAAAAATGTTATTATCCGATTCACAGCCTCTATAAAAATATTACTATCCGATCAAATTAAGAAGTGGATAGTAACATTTTTAAACACTGGAGACCATAATATAATTTGATCGTCATCTCTGATTCACAGCCTCTAAACTCGGTGGCCATAACCAGGATTTGAGTTTCTTGTTTCTTCTTGCTTCTTGATAGAACTCTACAATTTATATATATCCTTTGAACTTAAGGTCATCAATGGTTCACAAATTTTCCATTCTCAAGTTCATCTTTAAGCAATCAACTCTACTGAATAACGAGTCCTAGTTAGTTTCTCAAGAACTATAAATCAAAATCAATGCATATATATTCACCCAAATCTTAACATCCTGTAATAAAGTTTTATAAAAACGAATCCACACAGATTAGTCAATAAAACTCAAACTTAATACTATAAAATTATCACAAATACTAAAAATATAATTCTTACCATACTGTCTTTTCCTATCTCCATCGCTTTCTTGCCTTCTCTCTCGGTTACCTTTCTTTGTCTTCTCTGTCTCTGTGTCTCGCTCTCTCTGTTTTACGGCAGTAAAGAAGAGGCGGTGGTGCACTACAAAAGGAGTTGATTGCCAATAAAATTAAGGGCAGTAGAAGAAAGCACAAAGCTAACAGGGAAAATGAAATGATGGGCTAAAATCAACCATTAATTCTAAAGTACAGTATTTATTTTTTAAAAAACATTGACTTAAAAATGAAATTTCTATAGAAAAAGGGATTAACCTTAGAGCTACAAGACCAAAAAGGTGCAGCAAAAGTCTTTAAAGTAGAGCATGTGATTCCTATTTGACTCGCACTATAAAAAATTATGAATATTTTTATCTATATTAAATATATATATATATAAAAAATACACATGAAGTAGAATAATCTTTTTGAAAATAAAATACATGTAAGATAACTAAAAAATATTAGTCATTTGAAAGATTTTATATAAACAAAGTAAAATATTAATTTAAATATAAATAAAAAATATTTTTGAAAAAATACATGTAAAAAAAAAAAGCATCAATTAATAAATCAAATTTAGAGAGAAAAAGGTAAAGGCCAGGCATAGTTGGATGCAAACCAAGCCAGCCTGCTTGGCCCATTTAGCAAGGACTTGCACGCGTAGGCTCTGGATTTTTTTTATTGGATATGGGGTGGACGACGCCACAATTTGTTTTTTGAAAAAATTTAAAGTCATTTGATCCAATGAATATGAATAGCGAAATGCCATAAAAAACCTCAGATCTTTAAGATATATAAGTAATTCCACGTTATTATTGCTGGTGTTCAAATATTAAAAGAAAGTGCAAAAACTTCACTTGTTGATCATACTTGATAACACAATTTTTTTTTTGTTTTCTCTTGCTTCTTGTGCCAGGTGATTTTTAGCTACTCAATTGTTCACTTACAGCAGTAAATCTACTGTTCCTCTCCAGTGCTACCATGAGTGAGCCCTCACCATACCCGCAAATTGAACCAACCACCTTCGACCTGATTGCTGTGGGCACTGGTTTAGCAGAATGCATTGTTGCTGCTGCAGCTTCTGCTTCTGGAAAAACTGTCCTTCATCTTGACACCAATCCATTCTATGGGTCCCATTACTCCTCTCTCTCGGTCCACTCTGATGGAAAAGAATCAGTTGATGAGGTTTTTCAAGCTGGTGCAAGGGCACTTGGTTGCCACAGTGGCGGCAGGTTCTCGTGGTAATGATGGGAATGGTAATGATGAAGAGGAAGGTAAGACGAAGATTTCAGATGAGGATTTGGAGAGGCCATTTGTTGAGTACTTGTCAAAAATGCGGTTGCCTCCAAAGATTAGATCGTACAGACTGCTGTTGCCTTTCTCTATCAGTTAGCAAGAGTTTATTTGTTATTTGTGCGTTTTGTTTCCCTGTTTGGTCTAAAGTTTACGGAATTTTGGTTATGTCTGCTCGTCTGCAGGATTATTCTGTATGCTATAGCTATGGCAGATTATGATCAAGATGACATGGGGGTTTGCCAAAATTTGCTCAAGACTAAAGATGGAATAGATCGTTTGGCTCTATACCAGTCATCAGTTGGGAGGTTAATTCTTGTTTATTCTGTTTTATAGTGAAGCAGTTATTCTCTGGTTTAAAATTTAGATGGGTGCTATAGAGCTGCACTTGCGACTTGTATGATATCTTGATCAGAAACACATATTGTGTTAACTACAAGATTATATTATTTTTCCTTCCATTATTGAACACCACTGAAAGTGTAGGGTTAGGAGCAGATAAAGAGGGGGAAAATGTTTTGAGTTCTAGTTCTGTACTGGCAACTAAAAATCTAACCTTGATTTATGGCTTGGAATGTTGTATTAGTTAAGCAATTTACATCGATTTGCTTTAAGTTTGTTGTTTATAATTCTTGCTCCTTTCAGGTTTACAAATGCTTCTGGGGCCCTAATTTATCCCATTTATGGTCAAGGAGAACTGCCACAAGCCTTTAGCCGACGCTCTGCTGTCAGTGGTTGCATTTACGTAAGTTCACTGAAAGAAACTGTGGCTTCTTTCTGTTGGTGAAATATGAACTATCATTTTTGGTTAATAGTTAAATGTGATATATTTGCTTTTGTGCATGTGTTGTGTAAGTAACTTGTTCCTAAATGTGATTGACACTGTTTGATCTGTTCTGCTGCTTTAGATACTTGGGTGTTACTTGATTTTCACAAGAATGGTCACAGGTGTACTTGTGCTATTTTTCCTTATATTTTGCGGGAACATAAAAAAATTGCAAATAATGTTTACCTATTATACTATAGAACTTTGTTATAAAGTGGACAAAAACAGTGTTGCTTTGTCAAGCTAACATGCTCACCTGCTTTCGAGACTTCTGTCATACAGGTTCTACGAATGCCAGTGACTGCGTTACTTATGGAAAAGGTGCTAAAATATGCCTATAATTCGTTTAATACATGGACAGCATAGAATGATATAGTCACCTGTTAGGGCAAATGAATTATCCTCAACTTTTTTTTTTCCAGGATAGTGGGAGTTACAAAGGTGTTCGATTGGCTTCTGGCCAGGACATATTTAGCCAGAAGCTGGTTCTGGATCCATCCTTTACACTTGCCTCACCATCAGCCTCTCCATCAGATCTTCTGCATGAAAGTTTTAGCTTTTTGAGCACCAGAGATGTTAAAGGGAAGGTGGCCAGAGGGATATGCATCACACAAAATTCCTTGATGCCAGATGCATCTAATCTTCTGGTTATATACCCCCCTCGATGTAAGATCAGCATATAGTTTCATTTCTGTTCCTTATTGAGTTTATAGGAATCATACGGTTCAAACTTCTTATCCCTTTTGTCTAGCCCTGTACCCTGAACAGATTACATCAATTCGAGCTCTCCAAATAAGTGGCAACTTGGCTGTTTGTCCTTTGGGCATGTGAGTTACCACCAACCACTTTCTTTTATGTTTTTACTTTCCTTGACTTCTGATTCTACTGCTGACTACCTGTTAGGACTGCATTTGTGACATAAGTAATTGTGCTCACCCCATTTCTGGATTTATGTGGACTCTTTTGGAGAGAGTTCCAAATAACTAATACATTTAGAAATACATATATTAACCATGACAAGTTGGAAAGGTAGCTAGTAGAAATTTTGAATCTCAGTTTGTTGTCTTTTGAAACTTTTGTAGTGCTATTCTTAAAGAATAATATAAATCATATCCTAGGACCTCACCTAATAGCTTAAGTTTTTAGGTGAGATGGTTCTTCGATATGGTATCAGAGCCTTAATAAAATGATCTCAAGTTCGAATCTCACCATCCCCATTTATTTGATAAAAATTAAGCACAAAGTAATGTGGGTCTGTGCAAGTTTCAAGCCCAAAGGGCTTTCATTTGAGGGGGTGTGTTAAAGAATAATATAAATCATATCGTGAGACCTCACCTAATAATTTAAGCTTTTAGGTGAGATGGTTCTTTGACAGCTATTGCTATTTATCCTTTGAAGTCCTGCTTCAATCCAAAGATTTTTGAGGTCAAGGATTACATCTAGCCAATGCCTTGTAGATCCTGCTTGGGATGAAAACCATTACAAGGAGATAATACACATCAAATTATTTATGGTTTTGTTCTTCAGAATGTTTCCACACCCGTGGCATCATTAAGGTGATAATAATGGATGTCTTATTCATTCATTGAGAACTACTACTACTTATAGTACAGTAACCCCCTGCCTCTTGAATGAATATGTGATCCTTGAGTTAACAATTTCTCTGATTATTTGTTTCAGGTTTGTGCTCTATCTTTCAGCTTTGTGTGATGATGCCATACAAGGGAAGAGGTTACTAAATGCGGCTATGAATGCCCTTCTGACTTGTCCTGATCCTGTAAATTCTGAAATCAGTTCCACAGTTCAGAGTGAGACTACTGAAGAGAAACCCACTGTCATTTGGAGCGGGTTGTATATGCAGGAGATGTCTACGGTGCTTTACCTCTTGAACTTTTGTCTCTTACTATTAGCATCTCATGTGTGCACAAGCACACACATATATGCTCATGCACACAAGTGGGGGGTTATTAGAATTCGTGTTTAGAACTTGCAGTTTAATTTTATCTTATGTGTTGTAGTTTCAAGTTCAGCTTACACTAAGTCACATGTAGGGCTTAGTACATAGGGTGCCTCATCATAAAAGCTTAAGGTTACTTCTCTTCTGGCACGTGCCTGCCTATCTGGATGTTTTAGAACCTGATTGCTGCTGCCCTCGTGTTCCCTTCCTCTCTTGAATCTCCCTCCCTCCTTCAATTTATTTTCTAGATTTTATTGAATTTCTTCCTTGCATGTTCCAGCTGCCTCTATTTTCTTCTTCCTGTACTTGTTTTGGGTGTGTTGAGTCCATCAAAGTTGTCTCAGCAGGTCACTTACGAGTCCCTTCAGTTCAACTATGAGCTGTTGCTCAATGATCTCCTGCTTCATCTTTCTTTTTTCTGCCACTGACATCAATCAAATCAATCCCGAACTCACATTAGAGACCAGCTTCGATCCATTTTAACTTTCCTAACTAGATCCTATGATCATTTTTAAGCTGAATGAATGGGTGTGCTTTAATGGATTCAGTAGGTTATTAACTCTTGCTTGCTTCAACTCCTGTAAATCTATGACCTTGAGTTGGATTGACATTCTTTTATTAAATGTTGCTTGAGTAAATATGTAATTTTTTTGAAAAGTGATGATGTATATAGATATGCATGCATTTTGGTTGATATTGGTATGCCATCTCTTTTGTTTCAGGGTCAATTTGATTCTATCAACTTTGCTCCCATGCCCGATGGAAATCTGAATTACAATGATGTATTAGATGCAGCTTTGAAGGTATGTTATCCTCTATTTAACGTTTATGATGCTTCAGGTTCCATTATCCTAAATGCCTAATTTCTCTATATCATCACTTGAGTATATTCCTGCTTTCTCTTTTATTTCCCATCCAACAAGTTGTTAAATAGGAAAATGAATGTCAGTGATTCAACAACCACAAGCCAATATGCATGCTTACTGGATCACATTGTGTACTCACAGATGTCTCTTGTTGATTGTTTCATGATCTCTTTTTGGCCTACTGAGAATTCAATACTAGTGCTTCTACTTGACAGCTCTTTCAGGAGATGTATCCAAATGAAGAAAATTTCCCAGAGACAACTCCACCTCAGAATTCCGAGGGTGATATTGGACTCACTCTAGAGACCTAGATATAATGCTGTGCTGGATCAGTTTGCTAATTATGCTGCTGTATTCAATCACTTCCCTATCTCTGCCAGCAATTACCCGGGCATTATGCACCTGGTGCGTTGTAGTTGTGGTGGCATCGAGTGGTTTATGAAGCTCTATGCTTATTTGTTAAAGCAATTGAGGGGAAAACAAATGTGATGCTACTACACACGTTTCCTGTTTTGAGAACTTCAAAAATTCAGAGATGCTTGGTTTTTCAAGCAACTATTTGTTGTAAAACATGAAAAAACTCATCAGAGAGATCATTGTTACATGAAAACCTGATGATAGAGTTAAAATACTTGTTTGTAAACATGACAAGTGAATCTGTATCAGTTGATATATGTTGATTTCAACAATTATTAGTTTGCTCGTTATCTTTGTTCTTTGATCCATTGACATCATATCATGCGCAGCCTGCTAACATTCTAAGAACAGCATGGGTTGCCCTTGGCAGCTCAATGCACTGTGAACCTCATTTTCTGTTTGTAATATACTCATGGTCAAGTGGGACATGGTTAAGTGGGAGTGTTTGTTTTTTAAAATATTTTTTATTTAGAAATGTTTTAAAATAATATTTTTTTTTAATTTTTAAAAATTATTTTTGATATTGAAATATATATATATAAATGAAATAAAAAAAAGGAAAAAATGAAATTTTTAAAAATGAAAGTCACAATTTACAAATTCTTTTTAGCTCTTTGAATTTCCTATCCTAAAAAACAAAAGGTGTGGGGTTCAGAATCATGGGGCCCTTCCAACCTAAGAGAACTATGACTAAAGACTGGTCCTCTCCAATGTCACCACAGCATGCAAATTGCTTAACATCTAAGCTATATCCCCAGCAGGAACCTGAAGACATCACTCAGCGAGATAACCCCTTCTACACGCTTGCAAATTGGTTCAGACCATTGCAAGAATGTGCATACAATTGCATGTAAATAGAGCTCAAAGTAATAAAAACTAATTTCCTGATGAATACTTATTTCATCGAGATGAATTTGTGCATAGGCTTTATCTTTCGCAGAGCAGTGATATCACAGTCAAGGAAACATCCAGCAGTGAATCATTATCGTTTACAAATGGTATTGAACTGACATTGGCTGTATCAGAAAGGTATTATAGCACAAGGTTAGGAGAGGTTAAAGAAGATCAATCAGCAATATGCACACTCAGAAACAGATAGAAGAGGAAAGTTGTAGCTTGTGGTAATCTTTTGACGAGTGAATTACCTTGAGCCAACAAAGACAGAGCAGCACCAAGAGAAGCATTCGGTCTCAACATTGCGAATGGCCGTCTGTTTGGTTCCCCAAGTTTTGGAACCCTTTTACCCAAAGGAATTGAACAAATTGGTTGTTGAAGTATGGGGAAGGAGCCAGCAGAATGTCTGAAATACCTGCATATACCTTACATTTAGGTCCATGTGTTAGCAACAAGTCATACATCCTCAAGCATCAAACCAAGAAGGTTTACATTTTAGTATTCCAGACAGGGAAGCAAGATATAGTAGCTGCGGAAATAAGCCATCCTGAGAAGCAAAATGAATAATGGGAACTGTTGACACGCTGCTTTGCAAGATTTTCAAAGAAATATGTTTCATTGAATCATATGGCCCTGCCTGCATTTTAAATGAGTGGTGGATAACTACTGCTTTAGGTTCGCTTGTTGTTTGGTGGAATGAAAACACCAAAAGTCCTGCCATTGCTAGACTGTTGGACCTGAGTGATCTTCACGTCAGAGGAGAGTTGTGAGGGGGAGAAACACTGAACCAACTTATGAGATCTGTGGTAGACAATCTGGTGTAAGATTTGGCTTGGATTTGGTGGGACGATTGGGTCTAACATGGACCATCTGGATGGGTTCTTCGAACGATTTCCCCTGCTCGAGAGGAAGAAGAGAATGAACAATTTTTGGAACAACGCCGTTTTAGGCCGAAAAGGGTCATTATTCAATTTGCCCCCTGAAGTTTTGATGTCTACATTCAAGCCCTTGTCTTTTAAAATTCATTTTTTAATTTCGCCCCTTGATCTATGCAATTGCACCCTTGGATTTCTACGTTATTTTCAAAATAGTCATTAGTTTTAAATTTCTTCAATTCAATCCTTAATTGACTTTTCAATCTTTTTTATTTTTTCAAAATTACCTCTGATAAAGTCAATTAACCCTTTTATAATATCAAAGCCTATTCATTTTGATCCTTGGAATTTTATTTTTTGCAATTTTGACATAAATTGCTCTTGTATTTTGATATTTCTTCAATTAAACTCTTGATTGCATTAACTAAACCAATTCAGAGTTTAATTAAATTCCTAGACTTGTCAATTCTTCCAATTTCAACCAAATTAACTTTTAAATTTTATAATTTTATCCTTGTCAGTCCTCAAACCTTCAATTTATGTTGTTTTGATCACATTCTCAAATCATTTTCCAAAGTTTCTTCAATAAGATCCTAGTTGTTCCATCCACCTATCATTTTGAATAATTTTGCATGATTAATTAATCCAAGTTATATTTTTATCATCACTTTTTTAGAAACTTAAAATTGAATTATGATAGTTACACCCAACTCAACTATCTGGGCTAGGGCAGAATGGATCTAGCCCAGACACCCAACTCAACTATCTGGGCTAGGGCGGAATGGATCTAGCCCAGCACAACTTAGTCACTGGCACAGCTTAGTCACTGGCTCAGCCTAGTGACTAAGTTGTGCTTACAAATGGCAGAATGTGAATTAATTATAATTCACGTTTAGCATATTTGCATGTAGAAAAAAATGAAGAACAAAGGAGGGAGGAGAAGGTTATTTGGTAGAGAGGAGGTAGTGTTGCTATTGATGGGAACTTTGGTATAGAGGTGTGGCTGTCAGAGAAGGTGAGGTGGAGAAGTTAATGCTTCTGGGGTGCAAGAAGATTGTGATAGAGAGGAAGAAGATGAAGAAGTTGGTGGTGGTGATTATCATTGTTATTAGTGAGTAGATGGGTTGATGGAGAAGGTTTGGTTGCTTTTGGTCACGATGATACTAAGGTAGTAGTGCTTGAAAAAGTGGTAGAGAAAGAGGTGAAAAAGGCTAATAAAAAAAATTAAAAAAAAAATTGATTTTTTTCCAACTTTAGTCTCAGATTTCTTGATCTCAATGCATGGAATCCTCTCTTATTTATAGGAGATAGAAGAGGGGCATTTTATCTTAACTGGTGCCAAATCTTGGCCCTTGATTCAACCCGAAAGGATCTCCATTGTTGACTCAAAGTGGCCATTATGAACTGTCAATATAACTGCTAAAAGACTAGTCGGGTTGGCCACTTTAAGTTAGCGTCGCAGCTATCATGATGTCAATCAACCTGAAAAAACCATATTGGGGTACGGTCGAAGGTCAAATCATCATTTTCATATATGTTTTGTCAAATTTGATGGAGGCACGAAGCATTAAATTCGATGGAGAGACAAAGCATTAAATAAAAAGTAATTCTCTAAATAGTCTTTTTAACCTAAAGAGAAAGAAGACAACGAATAATAACCAAACAACACGTCGTATAATTTTTTTATTATTATTATTATTGTTCAAAATAGTGTCGTTTTGGTAGTTTTAGGGTTTTAATTTAGATGTTTGGCTAAAGTTTATTTTGATCCTCGAGCTTTTAATTTCTTTTAAATGCACACCCCTAATTGACCATAAACTTTTAATTTTATGTAATTTTACCCTTGCTGAAATTCAATGTTTGCCATGAATTTCAACATTGTTTTCATTTTAGTTATTGGTCTTGGATTTATGCAAACTAGCGCTCAAGTAACCATTAAACTTTTAATTTTCTTCAATGTCACCCTAAATTTCAATCAATTGAGTTCATATAGTTCGATATCTTTTGCAAAATGATCATTGACTATGAATTTCTTCAATGTAACCTTTAATTGATCCCTAACTTTTTATTTTCTCACAATTTCACCCTTAATTCAATTGACATGGTAAAAATTAAATTTAAACTTTTAAATTTTCAACTTTCTCAATTAAACTCAAATTAGACTCTCAAACTTAATTTTTCTCCAATGAAACCTCTAATAAAATTAATTTGATCCATTTAAAGTATAATTAAGTCCTTACACATAATTAAATCTTTTAATTGGACCCAAATTAATTCTCGAGCATAATTAAACTTTTAGTTCAATTCATAATTAAATCAAATTAGCCTATTAAAAATCTAATTATGTCCTTGGACTTAATTCTTATATAGATTCATCCAATAATAAATTAATCTGACCTTGGATCTGTATTATCTTTTTAACTTTTGGCATAATGGGGTACGGTCAGGCTTTCGATTTCGTCTAAAATTGCAACTTGATTTTAATATATATTTAAATTCCTTCATCAACCAACTTTTTTCTCATCACCAGTCTCCTTGCTACTATTATGTATTTTTTAATTTTTCAAAAAGGAAAAAAAAGTAAATTTAAAGGAATAACCAAAAAATGAATTATGACATTTTTAGTGTATGTTTGTTAATGCAGTGCATAGTGTTTTTCAATTAAAAATAGATTAAAATGATATTTTTTTTAGATTTTATTTTATTTTCAACATAAATACATTAAAATCATTAAAAAAACACCTAAAAACATTAATTTAATATTTTTTAAAATGAAAATTAGTTTGGAAAAAAGGTTAAACCACGTTACAGATTAATTAAAAAACCTTTTCCACAACTAGTTTGAGTTTGGCTCGACCTAAAATTTAAGTTGGGAGTCTATCTTCTTCTTTTTCTTTTTTTATCAAAACATGTTTTGTTTTAGTTTTAATAAAATGATATGGTTTTGGTTAAAAAAAAAAATTCAATCCAAAATGAAATATAACTTGGATCAAGTTTCAAATCAAGGGGATACTAGGATTGATTTGTTGTACCCCATTTTATAATTACATTTTGTTATGCTAGTAGAAATTTTAGAATATCACATGTCTACTCAGAACCCATAATGATCTGATGACCCCTTGTAAGGTGCTGGTATGACCTTCAAAGGAACATTTTTTCTAAGTGTTATCCCCATTTTTTCGGTCATGTCTATGTCCTCAGGCTTGAGGCCATCTGGCAAAATCCAATCAAATGAAAGCAAGAGCGATCCAAGAGCCAAAGGAAGAACACGAGAAGCAAGCGGCATGGCAGGGCACATTCTACGTCCAGAACCAAATGGTATAAACTCAAAATGAGAACCTTTGTAATCCACCATGTTTGGTTCCAAGAACCTTTCTGGCTTAAAAACCAAAGGGTCATCCCAAGTCTTTGAATCCCTTCCAATGGCCCACACATTTACTAAAATTGTTGTCTCTTTAGGGATGTAATAACCTAGCATCTTGCAAGGGTTCATGGCCATGTGCGGGACTAAAAAAGGGAGA